TGGAGGGGTTAGGGACCAGGTTTCTTGAAGAAAGATGATATCGAAGGACGAGAGATAACTGATGAGATCGGGATCCGTTGTTTTTTCCCCCCAACCCGCAATGTTCCAAGAAACTAACTTAAGACAGGCTGCTGGATTTAAAAAGGTCTGCGAGAGTGCAGGTAGTCAACAGGGAAGGTTGGAGTTAGATGAGCAGGAAAGGGAATCGATATGGGTTGGGTAACTGGGGTCCCCATTGAGAACTTGATTGTTGGCTAAAGAGGGAGCTCTCATGTGTGTTCCGCCTGATAGGTGGGAGAGAGATTTGGCAACTAAGGCTGGCGAAGAGTCAGGAGGGGTTAGCGATATGGTCTCGGGCTCCTTGGTGCAGACCGGGTTATCCCCCTTGGGGTCGGGGTTTATGAGATTAAAGTTAAGAGGAGGGACAAGTTGTGTTGAGGCATCCACTGAGAGGAAGGAGCCATCAGGGGAGTGTCTATTCACAGTACAGGTAGGGAATAAGGAGGTGGGAAAACCGTTGTTATCAGGGAGCAGGGGAGGGATTGGGTTTTCACAGTCAGGGAGAGTCCTTGGGGGGCAATTGGGGATCCAAGGTTCAGGTGCGGGTTCCAGAGTGAGGGGGTGACAATTGGAGGTAATTCCAGTCAGCCGGTCGACTGGGTTCATCTGTAGCTTTGTCTTGCAGTCAGGGTTCACATCGGCAGAAATCGGAGGAGAAGGAAGGACGGTTGGAAAAGACAAGTCCAGAAGACAGTCCCTGGAAGCGGGAGAAGTATTGGGACCCAGGCCGGTATTTGAAGGAGGTTCTGGTGCAGGGGCCGGCGTCATGTTGTCTTGCAATTTAGGCTTGACCGGTAAAAGGCTCGCAATGGTAGTGTTCCTAAAATGTCTTTGGGGAAAGATGCCGGCTCTTCTCAGGATTCCTGCACGTGAGAACAGCAGACCCGGGATGTGCTTGGAGTTGAAAAACAGCAAAAGACGGTCCATAGAGTGAGCAGAAGGTAGTTTCTCAATTTTAAGCAGGTCGATAGAAGAGAAGGCTACTTTTAGTAGTATAGCCAGATGGGTTTTGGCCTGCTTTATTCTGGACCAGTCAGGTCGTATTCCTCCGCAAAACAGAGATTGCTGCACAGTTAGGTGCATAGATTAGTTGATCATTTTTAGATTCGTGAGTAAAGTTAAAAGAGTTCTTACATGGGAGATTGGCAGCAGCCTGCTGGGATACACATCGGTTGGAGCCTGGAAGTGGGCTAGAGTTGATTGATTGCATCCGGTAGAGTCCTTTTAGAAGTTCAACCGCCATGTCTAAATGGGTAAATATCTGTTTTACCGTCTGAGCAGTTAGGAGGAAATGTTTCATTAGCATGTTATCTGGCTCCTGCTCCAGTAGTAATTCTTTGTCGGGCATGGGAGGTTGTATGTTCCCACAAGGGCTGTTGGGGGGAGTAACAGACTCCGAGTCAGCTGGATGGGCGGAGGGGAGGGCAAGGCCCGGTAGTAAATCCACAGATGCTGAAGGCTGGTGCAAAGGAAAAAAAGCCTCCAGCTTTGTCTGTTTGAAGTTTGGGGTAACATCCGCTCCTGAGTCCCCTGGGGATAATGCTCTTTTCTTTCCCATAGGAGTGGTGGTAAGAGCAAGGAATTTTGCTAGAACGCTCACTCACGGTTCAGTTGAATGATGGTAGATGTGTACAGCACAAGTGGCTAACAAGTGCCCCAGAACCATCAGCATCTTGTGCCCTGTTCAATGACTGAACCAAGGAAATGGGAGGTCTCGTTTCTACTACACAGAAGGAGAGAGCACCCTGACTTTGTCAGTTAGGAGATCCAGCGGGGTTTATTGGACATTAGTTGACAGGAAGATGGGAAGAAGGAAAAAAAACAGATATGAATTGCTGACAGATAGGATTTCTAAAGAATTAAGATTTGACCAGACCATAAATAGTTGTCTTTGTTCTAAATACCTTTGGTGTAAAATTAAAAAAGCGGATTTGTTCCTTCAATATCAATACATGATAATATAATTTGTAACTATTCTTCTAAAGCCACTTATTTTGAAAATAGTTCAATAATGTACAAGGGGCTACTAATCTGTTGAGTATTTTGTAAATTAAGAATAAACTATTGTGATAACTTCTAATATTAATAAACTGTTCACATGTGATATCAGATTTCAAGACTGCATAAAAATACCAACATAGATATTTGGATTATGGGGGAAAGGAGAGAAATATTTATATATGCACAGATGTAGTAAACTACCAGCCTTATAAACCAAAACCAATTGTGAATCCATTAAAGATGGATCCACTATATTTACCAGACTTTGGATTGTTTTCACAACTTTTTAAACTGAAAGAAAAATGAGATCATTTTCTTGTTACAGACTATATGAGAATTTAACTAACATTCTGCAATTGAAAAAAAATCTCACATCTAGTTTACAAGTAACAGCAATTATTTGCACACTGTATTTCTCAATGCACAAGTTTTGCAAAAAGATTTTCTTTACAAGACTATAAAAAGTTATTCTAAAAAATGTATCATTGTGCTTCATCTAAGTATTTGTTGTTATTGTTCAGTAAATTCCCCATTCCAGCAGTAGCATAGTGCTACTTAGTTTATGGTGTATTAAATTAGAACATGACAATGCTGTAGAATCCAGAAAAGGCTTATCAGCAAAGGTATACTATGCTTTTGATTGTTACAGCATATTTAAGTCTTATAGCAGGCACAGGTGAGCCTAAGGCGGATCCAACAGCAGTCTTACCACAGCGCTAATTCATACTGAAAATGAGTAGCAGTTTGCCTTCTAAGATGGAATTGTTTTCTCGATATGGCTTGGAAAACTGTCGTTTCAACAAGACCTGAAATCCATCTGGTGCAGTTTGTTTTTGAGGAAACTTTAGGCCATGGAGGGTCAATCTAGCATTTGAAAGCCTACCGTCTTTCAGGTGCATTACTTCAGTATTTACTAACGAGAATGTTGAGTGGACTCCCTTTCAAAACTAAGGCAACTATGTTTGGATCCCATTTTCAGCTGCCATTTTTTAAAAAAATCATTCACCTGAATTTAATGTGACTTCATCATTAGAAGAATAAGCCACCCAAGAAGTTGCATATCTTGCTAATTCTAGCTTGTTAGATAATGTAACTGCTGGAATAGTACTTGTACTTCCTTGGACATCACATCGTATATAATGCTCTTTATACAGGCAGTATGAGAGAGAAATATTCTGCTTTCTATCCTTTCATGCGCTATAGCACTTCAGTGCCAAGTCAAAGAAAGGATTTCTATTGCATTATGTTCCTGGGTTCATCCTACTCATTATGAAACTCTTAACATTAGGAATTGGACGCACATCAAACTGGTGCTTGCGCCGTTCAAGGAAACTGGCGAGGCGTGAGGTATCCAGTGGGATCTTGGAATAGCTGCCATTGTGAAACTGCAGCCAAGGGTGCTGCAGGCAAGTGGCTGCTGTCGGTCTCCTCCTGGAGTCCTCTTGAAGGATTACAGAGATGAAGTCTCTGGCAGCATGGCTTACATCACAAAAGTATTCATCAGGGAAGCTGAAATCCACACGACACACATTGATGCATGTCTCCTCCCTGCTTTCGTCCAGAAAGGGAGAAACCCCACTCAGCATGACATAGGTAAGCACTCCTAGGCTCCAGATATCTGTGCCCAGCGAGACAGGAGCTCCCAGAAGAACTTCTGGAGCAGCAAACTCAGGGTTCCCAAGGAGATGGTGGATGTGATAATGGCCTGTGATTTGAACAGCATCTTCCAGGTCTATTAACTTCACACGAGGCACCGGGATCCGCAAGTCAATAAGTAAATTTTCTGGCTGTCAAGAGTAAAATAAAATAGCTCCATTGTTGACTATTTATGTTGTAAAATTTAATTCAATCCAACATTGGATCATAGTTATCTACTCATTGAGGGGAAGCACCTAATACCTAAAGGAATGATGTGCAGTCTTGTGAATAAGAAAGTATACCCACTTTGAAGTCTATGATTTTACATATCAGGACATATTGAAATCATCTGGCCCTTAGCAGGTCTGTAAATACAACCTCAGATGAACAATTGCACATTACATGTTATATGTGTCATGATTTATTTTACAAAAAAAGAAAGCCAAAATGGAGAAGCCATTGAGCACAACTTGGAATTGAAGAAAGAATCTTTTAATTAGTGGCGAGCTACTGGTAACTTCATTCCCCCTATGTCATTGCAGCAACACAACTGGATACTAGCCACAAATGTATGAATTAGATAGGGTGAAGTTTCTTTATGGGATCACACTGGATATGTTTGAGAACACTACATTTGTTATTTATAATAAGTTAATAATAGATCAGGAAAAAATGACCTAATGTACTGTAGTTGAATCCCTAAAATCACTCAGGGATATATTTGAAATTAAACTCCATTATGAATACTTGTATAATTAAATAAAGTTTAATCTTTGAGACTAATGAATTGCTTAGTAATACAATAGTAATGACCCCCAGAAATGAGATTTAAACATTTGACTGATATATGGAGTGAAAGTTTGGAATTATGTAGCTGCCCTTTCACATTCAGTTTAATTTCTATCTCTTGTTCCTACCTTTATATCCAAATGAGCAACTCGACAATTGTGAAGATACTGTAAGGCCTCCATTGTGTCCCTTATGTAAAATGCCACTTTTTCCTCCATTAATTCATCATGGTTCATAAGATAGTCCAAGAGACGGCCATCGTCCATCCTGAAATCCAACAACAATCCACCATAAGAAGAAATTTAACAAAATCACAAAGAATTGCTAATTACAGAAAACCTTAGTTATTTAGAGTAATTTTTTTAAAAAAATACTTCTCTATGAATATCACTGTGACAAAGAAGAAGCTAATCTTCAGGACTTACAATTCTAAAACTAAGATATAGGAAGAAGGAGATTCATAAGTGTCATGAATTGTAATATATTGAGGGTGTTGCAGATGTTGCAATATGGCTGCCTCATGCGCTGCCTGCTCCTTCTTCTTCATTTTTTTGCTAATGAACTTCACAGCAACATCTTTCCTGGTGGCCTTATGGATGCACTTCTTCACAACAGCAAAGCGTCCCCTGGGGGGGGGATTACAATAAGAATTATTAATAAACCATGCATACATTTCAGTTCAACAACTAATTCTCAATAGCATTTTAGTTACTATTTTTTTATTGGAGACAGGAATAAATCTGTTGAATTCTTCATACATCTGCTTTGCAGGTACCTGTGTCTTCTGTCTTGGCAGTTTCTATTATTTTTTGGATCAGTAAAGGTAACAAAAGATGTCATATTTGCTCATACAGTGTAATATACTTCAGTACTGAGTTATTATAGATGATGGGCTGCTTTATAAAAATAAGACTATTAAAAAATAACAGTTTAAATTGAAAGCTAAGAAATACCATAACAACATCCTCTGCTCATATTTTGGGTAGTGTGTGTGTTCCTTTCCTTTCCAGGGTCCTAGCTACAGATTGATCGTGTGGGCACTGCTCATTTGTAGACTACAGAACTGATCAAACAGTGGAAGAAAGTACAGAATCTGGCAATGGACGCAGCAAAATTCTAATATCACACTAGGATGATGCATTGCTTTTCTGATACGTCTCCAACTTTATTTAACAACAACAAAAGGAAAGCCATTGCGGTCATTGAATGATGGCTGCAGGAAAAGGTGGGAAAATGAATGAGTAGATTCCATGGACTCTTCCTCCACAAGGCAGCACAGCCGACCAGAGTTCCCAGAAATGTGGGGGAAAGGGGGGGTTTAACTCCCTTCCATCTCCCCAACCTTCACCCCAATGTTTTCTCCTCATGCCAGTACCATCAACATGAGCATCTCCTGCTGCTGCTGTTGTCCTAGCTTGCTGCCTCCTTGCTAGTGAGTAAGTGGACAAATGTACTCATGAGTAAGCCAGCTATTTAAAGACTTGTATGGACTCTTCTCAGAGGAGAATAAACCTCTCCAGTGAGAGTAGAAGGCTCTCTCAAATAAGAGAGAGATTGTGTTGAAGATAAGAACCTTTTAGGTTTGAACCAGACAGGCCCTTAGTCATTGGCAACTATGAATGAGATTCCAGTAGCTTAACAGCTGTTGCAAGCAAGCAGGAATGAAGTAAGTCATACCCCTCAACCTGTGATCTGAGCGCAGGATCAAATTGTGGCTACTTGTAAAGAGGAGTCATCCACAGGACTCCTGTATTACCCCTGCCTCTCTGATTTACAGTGATGTCAGAGAGAACTGAAAAGATATACTTTAACCTGGATTCCTGCACCAAGCATGAGGTTGGACTTCATGGCCTTATAGGCCCCTTCCATCCCTGTTATTCTATGATTCTCTAATTCTATGATTCTCAGTCAGAACTCCTCTGACAAATGAACAGCCCACACTTAATAGGATAAAAATATCAGATGCACGTATTTTTTAAAAAAATCTTCTCAGCCTTCTGAAAAACAAAACATTCCTTTTGCTGGTTTGTATTTTAATTAAACCACTGAGTTTCGTATTACCTTCCAATTTCATTCAGTTCTGTATATGCAAAATCAAAATTTTCTTTCCAGGCAATGGTGGCTCCATCAGCTGCAGAGTCTTTGTGAAACCAGAAAGGAGGGGAACAGAGATTTTAATATAGAGATAGGCATAAAATAAATAGTGTTAAAAAGGAATGACCTTAGAGAGTGAATTAAAGAGAAACATGAAGAACACAAGTACTGGATGGATTCTTCAGTCTCTGCCAGCTGAACATTATTTTTATGTTATTTGGTTATTTTATCACATATGACTATTTTTGCATATAGTTTAAGAATTTCTGAATGGATTTTAATCCATCTAAACCTGCAACTGACTTGACTATGTGTGGTTATTTGGTTTATGGATTGTCATCATTTTGACTTAGTAGCTGTAGGTTGTTGCCTCAGAAAACAAATATATAAGAGGAGGCAAAAAAAAAATCCTCATTATGCTGTTGGAGCACAGGACTTACCCAGGTACACAAGCAATACTAGATGGTGCAGAGCTGGCCCTCCCTTTAGGTAAAAGAAATCAGCTTCCTCAGGCAACAGATTTTTTTTAATGTCATGGAAAGGAACAAAACGGCAGTTTTAAATTTGTATTTTTTTTCCTGCTGGGGACAAAGAGATAGGCTTTTCTGCCTCAAGGGTTCAAACAACAACTTGGGTACAGTGTTTCTGCTGTGTTTGTGTATAAAGGTGGATGTTTTCTGCCCCTCAGACAGAAAAAATGTTTTTGGCAAATTTGTGTTGGTGCTATTATATGATGTTGCCAAAATGGCAATCATAAGATCATGAAAAAGTGCTGTGAAACCCTGAACAAGGCAACATTGGTCAGGAACGAAGGATAAAGGACACCCGAGCAAGGCCATATAGTGTGAAGGTACATGATGTAAGACGTGCTGAAGCTACTAAGTGAATCTGTTCCTGGGAAGTGCTTGGAAGGGAGACATGATTAGAACCCAATGTATGTTGGCTTCAGTTCAGCAATGCAAGTATGGCAAGATGCTGATGTGACAGGAAAACAAAGAATGTATCCTGTCCATCTAGGAGCCTGTTAATGATTCTTAGCATCTTATAACCTTTTATCTGTGGGTTTATGAGTAATATGTATAACGATATTATAACATTCATATATCCTGACTGGCAACAGCTCCTTGAATTATTATTATCCAGAGATTTATCCCAGTCTTGCTGCTAAGCGTCTTACAAACTGGAAACACCAAATATTAAGGCTGGGACCTTTATGTATCAAGTATGCAATATATCACTCAGCCAAAGCCCTTGCTCAAATATTAACTCCTTGATTTTCATGTGACTTATATGTATCCAGCTATTATATATATATAAATAAAACGGGGAATCCCTTCCCTTCTTCTCAAGCACTCTGGGACCATGGAATTTGCCCCAAACCACACAGGGTAGCTCTCAACCCTTGGCTCTGTGCTCAGGCGCTCAACTCACTGAGCTGTCCGGCCAGCCTAGATATCCATCACTGTGTACAAAATGAAAATAGGAAAAACAAACAAATAAAAACACAGTCTTACAACAAATCTGTTTGAGTTCTTTGACTGTTGACAAAAAAAACCTCAGAGATGGGCATGAACCTCAAGGTTCAGAGGTTTGTGCTGGTTCGTAAGCATGGGTTACAGGTTAGGGCTAGGGTTCCCTTGCCTTGACTCCCCGGGCGATGCCCCACTCACCAGCCAGCATATGCTCCTCCCCTTCTCCTCTTCAGCTGCTCAGCCAGTCCCTGGTAGGAGTAAAGGCTTGCCTGTCCCGCCTCCTTGTCTTAGTGGCCAGTCAGCCACGGAGGTGGGACAGAGAAGCCCATGTTCCTGCTGGGGACTGGCTGAACTGCTGGCGAGAAGGAGGAGAGGAGCATATGCTGGCTGGTGAGTGAGGGGCTAGTGAGTGAGGGATTCAGCTGGGGAAGTGGGGGAAGAGAACACATGATACCAGTGTTGCTGTGCTTACAAACCAGCACGAACCCCATTACTACCGCAAACCCATCAGTTCTCATGTATTATGTGACTAGCCATGTCCCTTCTGACAATGGGGATTCTCCCCTGTGGTGGTCCAGTACCCACCATATTCTGGCAGTTTCACAAATTCAGAGGCCTCACTGGGTAGGCTGATGCCCCATGGATTGCTGGCACTGACTCGGAACTGATACTGGCGGCCTGGTGTGAGGTCTTCGATAACGAGGTAGGTGTCCAAAGTGGAAGCCACGGACTGCTGCCAGACCTGTGAGCCTATATTTTATAGAGAGGGAGAAAGAAGAGGAGAACCAACATTCGAATGTGTTCCCAGGCCCCCAGGGAAGAGGGGCTATTATGCCCTCCTGATCTCCATGCAGTGAGACTGGACCTAGCCTAGGGGGAACCATAGTTAGAATATCTTTTTTACACAGAGGCATCATCTGTATATACATCCTGTAATTTTCCATCCGAAAAAGCAGCCTGTCCAGCTGCCTGCCGCCAGAGATCCGACTAGTTATGAATGAACCTTTGTGTCTTGGGGATTCAGGGTTGTGCTACTCATGCCTTATCTCAAAAATAACCACAAATAGAACACTGGGGAAAGAAACACAAACCCAATGTGGCTGTTTCTTGTACAAAGAGGCTACAGTCTGCTAGCTGCTCCCTGGACGTGTATCACACAGCTGAAGGCAGAAAATGTGTCCTGTTTCCTTGCTCTCGCTGTACGTGCTGAAGGATTCTGGCCACACAATCTGTCCGGGTTTTTCTCAGCTGCGTGTCACACCTCAGAAACCTGTTTGTGAAGATCATTGGAACCAGGGTTGTTAAACCCTCTCCAGAAGCTCAGATAGGCCGGAGAATAGTAGCAGAGTTTTCTTGATCCACTTCTATTGTGTTGGGCAGCTGCCAAGGTTCCCCTGTGATGCAGGGAGCTGGCCAGTGACCACCAGATCCCTCCCCCTCTGAATTAAAAGATGTGCCCAAACAAGTGAGGAAAACCAACTCTCACAATGATTTCCAAATATGAAGCTGAAACTGATCACCCTGTATTTCCTGGTTGACATACAGCATAATGGCAGATGTTTGTGTGGGGGGGGGAGGGAGAGTAGAGTGAAAGGTTGTGCTGCAGCCCCTTCTGGACAGACTCTTTTATGATCTACCAGGCAGCAAGAGGCAATGTGGGCAGCAACAGCATAGGCGATACCCAGAATGAAAGCCACTAAATCCTAACCATGATCTTAACCCCATAGCCCAATAGCAACATTACAACAATGGGCTGCAGACCTAACCTGTCAGAGAGAGATGAAAAATTAGAGACAGACGTCTTTAAAAGCAGGAAAAGAAAGCCTCAAAACGCTCCTACCTTCTTCTCTGAATTCCACTGTGTAACCTGAAATAGTGCAGTTTCCTGTACTAGATGGAGGCAGCCACCGAAGGATGACTGAAGTGCAGCTTCTTTCCTGAGCAATAGGCCGATTGGGGGCTGCAGGGACCCCTACACGTAGTAGGAGGCATGGGGAGGAAAGAAATCATGATCAGGAAAGGAGGAGGAGGAGAGACGAAGAGAGAAAGCAAGAGTAAGCGCTGCTTTTTCTGTTTTATCATCAAGCATGTGAAACAGAGGATTGTCAAAAAGTTAGACTGGCCAAAGGGATCCTCAGTACAGCAGAACTACAAATGTATCAGACTGTGGCAGAGCATGATCAGGAATTGGTAGTTGCATGTGTTTCACCACGGGTCAAATAAGAAGCTCCCCTCAACAAAACTCCAGCGATAATCAACTTAAAACAACAACTGCAGATCAGCGTGTTAAAACACCTCCTGCTGACAGTCACAAAGCAGATAATTTTGCAGATAGATCTCTTCTAGCAAAGAATGTCACATGGGAGAGCTGATCTTACACGTCTAGAAAAATTTCTATCATCCACCTACTAGGGTTGCATCATTTCGGAACATGCACGTGTGTCTGGGATATGCCACGAAACAAACACAAGGCTGGCAACCCTTTGAAATGTTAACATGGGGGTGGGGAGTTATATATATATATCATCAGTTTTATGCGACATACGTTAAAACAACAGGAGTTTTCCTTGGCTCCTGTGGCGGTGGGGAAAAATGGGAGGCGCAGAGCAGTAATGTTATCATGTTAGTAACACATGAGCCGAAATCCGGTTGTTTTAATGTATGTTGCATAAAACTGATGATGTCATCAGTCGCTGCCTTTTTTCTGAAACCAGAAATTTCTGATTCCCAACTGAAGGTCCTGAGGCCTTGCTGGGAAGCTGCTGAGTCTTTTTTTTTGGGGGGAGGGGGAGAGAAGTCTTTAAATTCTGAAAATCTCTGCTGGCAGGATCATTTTACTGCAGGCCATGATTTTCAGAAATTAAAGGTTTTCCCTCATCCTACAACCCCCCCCATGGCTTCCCCACAAGGAAAGGAAGCCTTAGGGAGCCTCAGGACCTTTGTGGTGGGGGACAGGGAGGCAGAGAATCAGAAGTTCTTAACTTCCAAAAGAAAAAAAAGAAAAAATCCATAACTGATAACATCATCAACTTTCCACATTATAAGTTGGGCAAAAAAAGAAATTCATCCACCAAGTTAGCAAGGTCCTTTTGTAAATACTAACAATACCAACACCAACCTCTTGACAAATCCTCCTAAGCATACAGTAATGCAACAAGGTCCTTTCCAGAAATAACGATTTCTAGCCCCGGTATAATAATACTGATAAATGTTTCAGAAGTTTTAAAAAAGCTACAAGTAAATCCAGAACATTGTAGGTATGGCAATATACATATTGTACTGTAATATAAACAAAATTAAAGTAAGGCAAACCTTGGCTTCCAGAGCATGTAGACTGGGCAAATTAAGGGGACATCTAGATTTCTAGGATACCTTTGTATGTATGTATGTATGTATGTATGTATGTACGTACGTACGTACTTGCATGCGTGCGTGCGTGTGTGCGTTTGTTTGCTATCTTTCTCTTCATAGGGGATTGCTGACTGCAAGGCACCAGGACTGGTGGAAAATCTAGATAAGCAAATACAAGGCTCCCTAAAACATGCATTGTACCGTGTGAAGAAAATACACTTTACCTTGCACTTTGATTGTTGCTGAGGTGGAAGCAGACCCGAGTTCGTTAGCTGCCACACAGGTGTAAATGCCACTGTCTTGAGGCATTACATTACAGATCTTCAGAGTAATTTCACCCGAGTCGCTAGAAGGGGCAAATATGACCATTTTAATCTGTAGCTCTGCTGTATTTTTAAACCAGCACCTTTTCTAGTAATTAGTTGGAAAATGAGAACCAGTAGAAGAGTAAACACAGCCATTTAATAATGCAATGTTGTGGATGCTGCTCTACAATAAGAAAAAGAAATTGCTAAGGAGCATTGGTAGGGACTGAGTGGACTCATAATTTTGGTCTGCAAGAAACTGATTCTTGCACACCTACCAAGTGTGCTTGAGAGACCTGTATTTAAATGTACATCAGCATGATTTGCATCTTCTCAACAAATGTGTGAATTAGGAGCCAAGTGTCCATCCAATTTCATACTATTCCAAATTTGGCAATGAAGATTTTATCTTTAAAATATTACCAAAAAACACAAATATGTATTTCACATGCATATTAATTTTTGTACAGGTTAAACCATCCAACCAGTCAACCAAGCCAGAAATTAATGCAGAAAGAGGATTTATGAATGGATTTATGAACAGAAACATGCCAGACTGATTTTTCCTCCTCATTACTGTCCATATGCCTTTCCCAGTTATGGGGTATAGCTGCCAACAACGTCCATCGCACTGCCCTTGCCTCCCGCCCTTCCATAAACCTCTGAGCTGATTGTGGTGTTAGGAGGATCAGAAATGTATTAGGACATATGTTAAGATACTGGCATTTGCAACCAATCCTTTAAAAATAAAGTCACAGAGAAAGTAGTATTGAATCTGGACATTGTGCATCAAATGGATAAGAACCAAGTTTATTCATGTATTTGTTTGGCTTGAAGGGCTGAACAGCAAGATCAGCTTCCCAGTTTGGGTCTTGCATTATTAGCTCACCTACTGTAGCTGTCTCATAAGACTCAGGGTGTTTCCACATGATGCTCCTATTACCCAACAGCCCCATCTTGGTCATAGAATTTTATGGGAAGGGCTCTAATCAATAACATCCTTCAATTTGTAGTTCTTGTGGTTTCCCCTTCTTCAGTCCAGAGAGTCTCGTGGTGCAGTAGTTAAACTGCAATACTGCAGCCAAGACTCTGCCCGTGACTTGAGTTCTCTCTTGGGCTCAGGTAGTTGACTCAACCTTCCATCCTTCTGAAATTGGTAAATTGAGTACCCAGCTCATTGGGGAGCAATGTGTAACCTGCATAATTGAACTGTAAACCACCCAGCACTCTTGAGGAAGTATATAAGTGGAACATTTTCCTTTCCAGTCCATTTTTTCTTACCAGAAAAAAAAAGCATGAGAAGACAATGGAATAGCTCGTGGTCTTCTCATCAGAAGGGCAGGGAGCCCTTCCTCTGGGAGCACCCCCAACAGCTTAACCCCAATGGCTTCCAAGGATAAAAAACTGTTACTGGGGTGAGGTGTACCATTACAATGCTGTATATGAAACAACAACTTACCAGGAAGAAAATGTATATGCAGCAGTACTGTTGTTATCAAGAATGTTTTGATCCGGACCTTTCCAGGTTATGGTCGGTTTAGGCCGTCCACAGACCTTGCACTGTAACATGACCGTGTCTCCAAGCAAGCAGGTGAGATCCACTAAAGGCACAAGGAACTCTGGAGCAACTGGAGCAAAAGCCACAGGTACAGAGACATAACATTCACCAAAGATCTAGAGTGTTGCGTGGACGCTACCAAGTGTGCTTCGCAGATACTGTACCTTTGATGAACTAAATTGTATTTAAAAGAGAAGATACTGAAAGGATGTCTGGTATTGCCTTTAAAACTAGCTGCCAAGCCATTAAGGGACTCTGTGGCACAAGCAAAGAATACACCACCACATACTCAGTAGTCATTACATAGCTATTCCAGTCTGACGGCTGTAAAGAAAATCTTGGAGAAGTCTCCATAGCTGTTGTCCAGCATGCTTTCTTTTGTAAATGCCAGCATCTATCAAAATGGACTTCAAATTATCTGAACGTTTATAGAGGTAGAACAAATTATATGAAGCCATGCAAATGGATGCAAATATGCTTCATTTATGTAATCTAATAATAGTATTCAAATTTCTTTCTTGCAGGAATTATTTTTCTTTTTTTCCTTTTCCTTCTTCTTTATGGTTGTTTAACAGAAAGAACAATAACAATGAATAAGGGGCACTGCCTTGCATCAGCTTTTGAGAAACTCTGAACTTAATAGCTGCTGTGTTGATACTCTTTGCAATTGCAAAATCTCAGTATAAAGGGAGAAGGAAAGATGAAACTCTTTCTTCCCACTTGTGAGACATATTATCAGCCACAGCAATTAAAGAAGATTAGAAAGATTTCTGCACACTGTAGCCTTTGGAATGAAGATGAGTTCACACAACAACAAATATGGCAAGAACCCAAAGAATGCACTTGTGGATATTTAGGATCTGCAATCTTTAGCATCTGCCATCCTTTCAATAAGGCTGTGATATGTGTGGTAACCATTTTTTAAAGTATAATTACATCCTGCACAGTTTAAGCAATGCCCCGTGGAGCAATCTTCCATAAAGCCTTCACCAGAAATATCTTCAACAAAGTACAGAATAACCATTCACATCACAGCGTGTGCACAGTGGGAAGTTTGTGTAATTACCGAGCAGTGGAATAGAATGCAGGTATAGCAGTCTCCATAGCAGTTATTATAAAAGAAGGGTACCCTTGTAATCATTCCAGGGAGAAGAAACCAAAATACAGTATACTGTATACTATTTCATCTGTCAACCCACCTCCCAAATTTCAGTAAGTGTGTATGATGAATTTATCTAACATATTTAAATGATGTGCTCACTTGCTTTCACCAGCCTACAGAATCACAGTGTGCTCTTCGGAATGGCCATAAAGTCAATTCTCCAGGTAGAGAATATTCAGAAATTCCCTTCTTCTGGGGGCTGTCTGGGGCTGTGCAGCTTGCCCAAGGCCGCACAGGCTGGCTCTTCCCCCTGGAGACACAGGGAGGAACTGAACTACCAACCACTAGCTCTGCTTCACCAAACAAAATCTTCTTACAGTACAGTATTTGAAATCAGGCATGTTTTTCTCTCCTAGCTGATTGATTCAGGGACATTTTCCTTGCACTTGTCTGGATGAATATTTTTAAACCCCACTTTGTTTTCTAAACTGTGGAAGCAACCTGTACATTTCTGCCTTTAACTCACCTTCCTGGATGAAATTTGGGTTGATGATCTGTAAAATATATATATACATAACAAGAGAAATAGAAAACACTTGTTTAATTGATCAGAGAAAAGGAAATTAATTTCTACAAATACAAGGCATTTGACATAATTTTTAAAAGGAACTTGAATGCACCTCTGGAAGCTTCCTGTTCAGTGGCTTGGGTGCATCGATGGGATGTGCAATATACTTCAGCACACACACTGTAGGACTAATGGAGAGGATTTGTGGTGGAAAACATGCATCAATTTCCCTGCACCTCACTGACAGGGTGTGGAGGCAAATATCTCAACTGCAGTCTCACCTCCATGTCCTATGCTCTCTCAACGCAATATTCATTACTTATCTCCATCCCACTTATCAGCAGGCTGCCTCTTTAGGAATCCTCGTGACTGACAGGCAACTGCACAGTACATGTTGTTATCTTGTCACATTGAACACTGGACAGCCCTTGGATATATCAAAATTGCCCTGTTGTGTTGCTGGAGCAAAGAACAACGTTGTTCATTGTTCAATGTTGTCTGAAACTGCAACAGCCAGCCTGTGAAGACATGGAGAAGCAAGGTACACCGCTGCTGTCTATCTCTTTTTTAGTACTAGCTATATTACATCTTGCCTTCCCTCCACCGGGCCCAAGGAAATGGACAAGGCCCTCTTTTCTGTCAGGTAGGTCAGGCTAAGATAGGGATCTTGGCACAAGGTGACCCTGCTTTCTTCATGGTGACGTGGAAATTTGAACGCAGTGCTAGTCTGACATTCCATTACATCACACTGGCCTCTGTAGTGTCAGCACCTGGTATATATTTTTTCTCCAAATCCTTGGAATGGATTAGACACAACTCAGCTTTCATGGAAGAAGGAGTGTGTCTTTGCATGGAGAGAAAAAGAAGGACCTCCTAAAGTTTCCTGGATGATCCAGTTTCCAGCCACCGAACTGACAAGTTAGCTACTGCTTGCTGCTGCTTGTTCTGCTAACAAAATGGATGATTCATGATGCAGCTACAGCTAACAGCCCCTGTGAATTTGCCTAATCCTTCTCAAAAGTCCTCTAGATAGGAAACAATCTGATGCCAATGGCTTTCTCTTACTATTTACAATGCAGTCAGTAAACACAGTGCATTACATGGTAACTATATAGGTTTAAATTCATGGCAGGGAAATGGTGCTGTCTTTCTTCAGAATAGTATTCCCACTTGAGAGTTCTCTGATCAGTAGCACAAGAAAACATGCCCACTGTCAGAGAGAAATACTAGTTTGAATAAAAGTTAAATCTTCCCTAGTAGCATAATATTATCATGCCCTCTAAGATTGAAAAACCTTTTTGGGGGGTGGAACAAGCTAACATTTCAGGACTTGGGGCCCCAATGCATGTACAAATAATCCAGGAACTCTGTCAGTGCTGATTGTGTGTGATTCTTCCCACAGGAACTTTTTTCACCTCCTGTCATTTGCACATTGGCTCAGTTTGTTTTGTGGTGGTCCTCATGCCATATGAATCTGTCTTCCTTTGTATGCCTTATTTCTCAGATCTCAAATACTGCCTGTATCACATCTCTTGAATATAACATGCTTTAACTCTAATGATCAGTGAAGTATAGTTGGATCTTGAGAAGAACAAGCTTGATCTGCCTATTATTTATTTCTGTGAATGTCCCCAAGTGCATTTTAGTCTTTCTTCAGCACAGAAGTGGATGGCCACAAACCTCTGCAAATAGGAGCTACTCATTGCTTCAGCAGTAGAGGGCAGCTTTGTGCCAAGATCTGTGAATTAAGGTTTCAATCGCCACTGAAATACTGTACAGTTGTTTTCAAATAGAATACTACCATTTCTCTTAAGGCTTATCTACTTGTAACTTCTTAATTTTGTTGACTGGGGTTTGTGGGCAACATCAGGCATTATCAATTATAACAGTTAATCCAGATGTTACTTTAATGTCATCAAGATTTCACACATTTTGTTTATTGAAACCATTGCAGAAAATCAAGTTTCATCGATGGAAATATCACAATTATTGAATTTTTATTGCCTTCTTTCAGTTAATAGGCTGGAACCTTTATCAAAGGGAAAAAACCGATGGTGACACTCACTAGCATATATCTTCCTATTCAAGGACATGTGAACAGTGCCATCAAACTTTCATGCTGCTTGAAAATCAGAACAAACTACTTTTGCAGATGAATTTATTTTCTGTTCATTACACTCGAGCCTGTTTGCTTAGTTTCACTTTGGCCAGGTGTTTCAGAATGGAGAACTTGTACCCCATGAAAAGTACTGGTACTTGCAAAATATCCACATTACCATAGGAGATACACTGATTTGTGATGGTGAAGACATTGCAGGCAGTTTTGATAGCTCCTTTGGAGCAGGGGTTGTCAACCCCCATCCGTGGCCCGGTACTAGTCTGTGAACTTGCTGGAACTGGGCCACGGATTCTGATCTCTGTCCCCCGCACGCACAGGGTGTATGTGTTGCGCCCGCAGTGGGTGTGTCGTGCTCACAGTGGGCGTGTCATGTCCCCCATGAGCGCAATGCCCCCACGTGAGCATGACACGCCCACTGCACTCTCACAGGGATGCCCCTACCCCCCACCCCGTACATGGAGCTAGCTCCCCCCAGCTGGTCCACGGCCCCTAAAAGGTTGAAGACCGCTGCTCTGGAGGATCCTGTAGCCCAAAGCATGTTTAAAGCTCAAATATATGCATGTTCTAATTACCTTTAACCATTTGCCTCACCTCACTGCTTAGTGCCTGCTGTCTCTCTCTTTTATACCTTTGGCCAAATGGTGTGCTAATACATCGGGTTGAAGAAGGTATGTCAACACAAGCGTGGGAAGACAGCAATTATTTTCTGTTACAAATCTGAGTATACTGAACAGGCTCTACTGGCTCTTCAGGGCCTCTAAGCAATGCATTAATATTAGTAAGCTTCGTATATGAGGCAGATGAAGGCAGCACCCCTTAATTTAAATGTCTAAACACTGCCATAAAGAAGCTCATGCCAGGAACCAGAATAACTTGTGTCATTTTTTCTGCCAAAGACAACAAACAGCTCAAAGAGAAGGATTGCAGGACGGAAACAGTGCAAAAGGTGCACACAGGCTTGGCTTACACGAGCAGCAGAATGAGTGGGCAAAATGGGCTTAAAGACACAAAAGTGTGGTTAAATAAATGCCCTCTTATGGCAAATATGGTCTGCTAAGAATAAAACAAAGCAGCATGACAAAAGCTAGATGAGGTCTTTTCTCCTCAGTCTGCTAGTCTTCTATTTCCATGGGGCTAAACACATTTAATGCACTGGCGTCACTGAGCTAATTGACTGGGGCCGGACATCTAGGCAGCTATTTGTCCTCACAGATGGTGTAAAGTGCAAATAGTGTGTGTATGTATCTACACACACTATTATTTGAAGTCTGTCCCATAAAGGCCCCACCCATATGTATCAGGAGTTTAGCAGTAGTAGCTTGGGCCATTAGAATAAGAGTTGGTAAGGTTCCAGTATCTCCAAAACAAGGAGTCTCGCTGAGCAGGTCTGTTTTTTTTTTTTTTTTTTAAGCAAACCATGGTGGATGATCTCAATGGGCCCAAGAGGCAGGGTTAATTACCTATTCTCCCCCCCTTTTTTTTAAAGGAATAAGTGCAGTGGTTATGTACAGTAAATATTGCTACAAAGAGTTGTTGTTAATTGGAAAATGGATTTAACCTAAAAAAAATTCCAAAAAATTCCAAAAAGACCCCTGTGAACATCAGAGGCAAAAATAAATAAATACCGTAAATAAAAAAAAGAAATATGGTGGTGACGGCAGCAGCAGTAGCATGGTGAGCTTTAGTTGCTGGGAGCCTCTGAAAATATGACAAAATTGCCCTCTTCCCCAAGTGTCCAGTGAGACACTTTGTGCCTTTGGTTTCATTGTTTAAATGGGGGATGGGGTGGAGTGAAGGTTTGGGGAGGCTGAGGGGAAGGGGTTTCACACCCTTGTTTTAAAGCATGAGTGCTAAGAAAAGAGAAGGAAGCTGGTTGTGAAGTGACCATGCAACTGCTGAAGTTTCCGAAATTCTGGGTATTAGTGAGTCCCAGCATTTGTCTACCCATCTGGACTGTGAGCGGTTGTTAGACATGGGTATTCTGAAGCTGCCAGCATTTTGGTAGAAATTTGCTGGCAGCTACAACATCATGTCATAATGATATATCAAATAAATAGGTCATCGATTTTTGTTGCCACTGTCCTTTCAGCATCATCTGATTCAGTAAGATTAGCAACAAATGCTTCTCAGTCAAAATCCACATGCAGCAAGCAGTGATTTTAATGGTGGGAGAGGTCAAATTTACCTCAACATTTGGCCAAATGGTGCGAATACAGCTGGTGTACTATTGGGATTAAGTTACAGCTTGCAAAACAGTTGCTGGCACTGAGTGTTTTGTTTGTTTTTTCTCTTTAACAAAAACCCATGATGTCAAGCAGAGTGCACCTCATCAGGAGGAGAGGAAGGAGCTACTTTACAGCATCTCAACATCCTTTCATAGAGCCAAAAACAAAATGTGTGGCAGACACACACACACACACACACACACAATCCTGGACACCTTTTATGGGGAGGCAGGGCAGGATGAGGGAGAATAGGTAAGGATGGTTGAGGTCTTGTACTGGCCGTTCCAAGCAGGGAGGCTATGGAGGCAGACAGACGGAACTGTAGAAGCTCCCCAAAATCCTTAGGTGGTCACCTTAGGTGGACCACCAAATCCTTAGGTGGTCAGTGGTGTCAGGTTTAAAGCAGGGTTACGGGAAGCAAGACCCATGAATTCAAAGTTAGAGGATATATCCTACTTCTTGGCAATGTAAAACTGTTAGGGAACAGCACTGGTAGAGTTTATGAACCAGCCGGCAAAACTTCTACAGAGGGATGAACACTCAAGTACAGTCACTAGAACAGAAGGATGTGCTGCTTTTGCACAATTTGACATATATGCAGGGGAACACCTATAACTGGTGGTGAATCAATGGACTTTCAGAGGTAGTGGCCTGGAGGTTCAAGAATCCCTTTCCAGTGACTAATGCTGAGTGGGACCTGATGGGAGTTGTAGACCAAAGCATCTGGGAGGTTGATGGTTCCCTCCTCTGTTCTATGTTGAACGTGCACAGATCTTACTGTTGCTGTTGCATTCAGTACTGGGCTTTGGATCTGACCCTTTCCAAACAAATGTTAATACTGTCTATGATTTTCCTCCAGCTCTCTTTTCCTCTGTCCATAGGTCTTGCATTCATGTAAACAAGACAGCCAGGCCAACATCAGTAATAATGGATAGTCTATTTAAAGGATTTGAAAATAAACTATAATTACCAGGCAGAGAGAGTACTGCAGTATCAGCATATCATTGTTTAGCCAAAAATGAATACAGTAAGGATGTTTGGAGGCAGGAATTTGACTGCCTTGTTGCCTTTGTGAGGAAAGTTGGCAAGACTAGTGTCCTTGCAAGAATTTAGTACAGTATATTGTTAAAAATGGAGATTTGAACCTTAAGTGTAACCACAAACTAACCACTCCTGTAAGTGTTCAGTTAATGATTAACTGTTAATCCATAACAGAACCTGCCAGTCTATAGGATGCATATATTATGAAATTCCTCTTGTTGGTTATGTGAATGAACACTTGATTATTACTAAGATGAAAGTACCGTGGTTTGACCAATATCAGCAGCTTAACATACTGACAGATTTGATAACTGAAATGCATTTGCCAGGAAGATCCCAGTTATTACTTGGTGGTTTCCCATCCAACTAGAAGCGAGGCCTGACCCTGCTCAACTTCTGAAAGCAGATGAAATTAGGTATGTTAAGAATGGCAATGAGGGCGAAAGAACCAGGAACAAAAGATAACAGGACTAATGGGCTCCCACACCTTCTGGGAGGATACAGCACAATTTTCAGCAACTGTGTAAAATTATAGAGTTACATACTGTCTTTTGCCTACATAAGGAACTCAAATGGTTCAAGGGATTCAGAATCGACAGGGTGTATACAATTGACCATTCTATTGTTGTAAAGATGGCACAGACTATAAGATGGTACAATAGAGTTGGGGGCAAGTCTATTTATATGAAGGCTTTGATAGTATGTCTCTTTTTTATATATATCACTGATTTTTAGGATTAGAATGCTTCTAATATTTATTCGCAGTTGCATTTCCATAGAACATTACACAAACTTTGGATGTGAGCTTGAGAATGTAGCGTGTAGGGTGTCTCTAATGTGATTTCTTTGTAAAATGTTTTATGAGAGTGTTCTGGGCATTGATGGCAGGATTGCAATTTTCCCTTAACAGAAGTACTGCATTATTGTTGTTAGGGCTGTGCCATTTGTGTGTGTGTGTGTGTGTGTGTGTGTGTGTGTTTTTGAGGTGGGAGGTGGACCCCAACTCCCAGAATTCTCCATGAATTTCCCACTCAGAATTTTGGGAGCTCCAGCCCACAGATAGAACAAGGCCTTCATCCTTCTCCTAGTGTATGGTCACTGCATATTAGGTGTTATAGAAGGCCCATCCCAAAGTACTGCACTTGCCACAATGACCTAGGCCACCCAGAAACTTCCAGGGTAGTCTTCTGTTTGAACAGAAAGCAAGGCCTGAGGTACACCTCCGTCCAGGTGAGTGAAATCTACGTGTTCATCTGTGGGTTGGAACTTCCAGAATTCTGCCTGAGGAATTCTTAGAGAATTCTGGGAGTTGGAGTGAAAAAGAAACAAGAGCAAATGGCACACCCCAAATGTCTGGATTTGGGGGGGGGGCATTTAGTCCTCCAGGGACTTTGAGCTTCATCTTTGAGAAGCCCCAGCCAGCATGGCCAATAGTCAGAGATTCTAAGACTTAAAGTTCAAACCTCTGGAGGGCCAAAATTTCCTCACCCTTGACTTATGGCCTATTGTGTTAACCAGATTTTTTGGCCATCAAAATGTAATTGTGCCCAGTTTGATCAACGAATGTCAGACAAAGCAAGCTTCCTGCGTTTTTCACAACTGGGCAAGAAGTCATACTTTTGTTTCTTAGCATGGATGGAGGTTTGCTTATTTTATCATACTGTAAATTCTTTTCCTACAGTTAAGTGAGTTTTCAGTAAACACATTACTAGCCCAAGACCATTTGGCACTCTGCATGGAGAACAGAGATGGCAATAGAAAGACGTTGTCAAAATTTCATCAGTGATAATCTGCCGTCCATCAAGGGTGCCCAAGATCTGCTGTCTCAGGCACTTACAAAATTCTGCCAAACGGAAGATAGTCCTGAATACATTTTCAGGCATCGCCTACCTCAGCATTTTCGATACAGACACAACATTTTTACCAACACTTGAATAAATAAATAATTATAGGCACAAAATTCTCTTGGGTTGCAAGGGAGGAGAGAAAGGGTCATGGTCTACCTCCATGCTAGTGTTGGGGTCAAGGTCATCACACTCTGACTCCTCTGAACTGTTTGTCTCCTTTTTTTGGCAGCATGGGGAGAAAAAGAACAGAATGAGGCTCATTAGAGGAATTAAAAGACACAAGAACAGCAGAGCAGCTGATAATAATGTAGGCACACACACTGGTAACGAAACATGTTTCCCAACAACAACAACCAAAAGTCACATGTTGGCAAGCATTAATACATTTGGCAAAAACAAAAAAGGGTAGTAGTCCAAAAAGTATTGAGGAAAATTAAAATGTATTAATGGAAGCAGAAGTATGATATGCTACCTCTGCTATATAACCAGCTTCCCTATTTGGCATGGCCCTTTTTAAGCCTTCACAACAATGTCGGGAGCAAAGTGTTTCATAAAACCTTCAGATCAAGTTCGGCGGCAGCCAGATCTAACAACAAGATCACTTTAAAATATGATTTTTGAAGGAGTGGACAGTCCAGCATTTCAGTTTCTCTGTTGGGCAATATTTTAGAATTTTAGTCAGTTGACACTTAAGCTTTACATGGCTATAAACTTCAAACAGCTTGAGCGTCAATGCAAGTTGAAGTTTGCAAATCCTGAAAACCTGAACGATCTGAATGGCGTTTTGTGTGTTTCTGTTTGGACTTCCTTGGCCCCAATTCAGAAAAACCATCAAAACACAGCAGGAGGTAGCATACACTTCCCATGTCAACTCAAGGACACCCATCCTCCACTCTCTAGATCACAGACTTAAAATAACACATTTCCTTTTGGGGGACAGGGATGGCCTCAGGCATCTTGCATGCTGCACTTCACCTCAGCTGCTGATCAGCACTGATATTCTGAACAAAAATTATCAGCCACTTGACGGTTATGTGCGTTAAGGCAGCATTACTGTAGATGCACAACTGACTGTGAACACATAGGTTACAAAAGCAGCATCACCTAGCTATATTAAAAATGTGGTTTAAGATCACACACCATATGCAAGACAGAAAGACTACAGCAAAGAATTTTAACAAAGCACAGAATGTCACAGACTTTACTTTTCAAGACCTGAGCAGAGCTCTTTTTGCTGCACAAGAGTGCAACAATGATTTTGTGCTGGCAGAACAAATCAGCATTCTATAAGGCAATTCTAAAAATGGGGGCAGCCCAAACAAAACATTTTAGCATTTATACTGGGATTTTTTATCAACACCAAATTTAGCATCATAGTAGCAGACTGTGTGCACATGTTCTGACCCAAATTTGGAGATGTTTGGGCAACATGTTTTCATGTTAGGGGGTTTTAAAGCAAATCTGTTTTGCCCCCATTCAGAAACAGGAAACCCTAAATGTCCCCAGATTTAAAACAGATCATATACATTGAAAAGGCCAGTCTTGCTTATCTTGAAACAAAATGGTTGGCCCCACCCACTTCCTATTTGGAAAGAAACCAGGCTGCAGTATTGATTGTCAAAAAAGGCCTTTCAAAAAGGATAAATAGCAACTTTATTACAAGACTGAGCATGCCATGGTACAGACTTGTGAGGAGTAGTTTTGTGAAATGAAACATTGTATACATTTGTAGGCAGAGGGGGGAGGGAGCTATTTCAGTAAACATTCTCTCAGGATTTCTAAGACCAGTCACCTCACATATGTTTCCAGAGAGAAAACTAGCTCTACTTCTAGGGCACCTAGATGAAGTTTTGACAGTGTCAATCAAGGTTCTATTAGCCAACATTTAGCCGAGCTTATATTCTTTCCTAGTCTCCTGTCAAAGTTTCCATTCTACCCATTTTGTCACTATACAATTGTATGGCAATTAAAAAGAAAACTTCAAAGATGTTATGTGCTATCAAGTCACTTCTCATGTGTGGTGACCTCCCAAACGTTCTAACATGAACAGCTCAGATCTTGCAAACCAATAACAAATCAAGTTAGGTCATTCTCTCTTCCTACTGCCTCTCTCCACCAATCAATATTATCTTTTCCAGTAACTTTTGCCCAGATCATGCAAATTAACAGCGGTGAATTCCTTTATTGAGTCCATCTGTCTGATGTTAGATCTTCCTCTTTTCCTACTGTGTGCCCCAAGCACACCCCTGCAATATTGTCTTTTCCAGTCAGTTTTATCTTCTCATCATATGTGAAATTTATTCATTTTTGCATAGTGAAGGGCAACCTGAATGTTGATGACACCCTTGGTCTACAGGATACTCTCTTCTTCTTTCTACCATTCACAAAGAAACATCAAGCAGGGGAAAATCCCAGAACCTGACTCCTTTTATCATTAATTAAACACTTCTTACTCAAAGACAAAAGAATTGTCAGAGCCATTTTTCAACCCGTTCTCTAGGTATCAAAATGCCTAGAAGAAATAGTAGTGAGCACAACAGTGTATGCTGTAAACCACTTTGAATGGTGACAAGGGTGCCCTCAACATTCTGGCTGGACTTTGTTATGCAAAGCTTGGCATCTTTTTTCCTGTTGGCAAAATGGCACGATATTGTGCAGCAATATTGCGCCACTTCCTGGAGTTTTGAACTGTGAATACAGAAGTACAATATCCTACATTCACAAGCTGGAAGGTTTTTGAAGAATTAAATTAATTGAAACACCTATTGGAGATAATTAATCCAAAAGATTGCCATAAATCAGAAATGACTTGGCAGAAGCATTTCCAATCATTCTCAGTATTTTCCCTCCCCAGAGAATTTTTTAAATAAACATATTAGTTCTCATGGGGTTAGAGATTGCAAATGAAGAGCTAATGAAGACATTTTTCATGTATTATTGAGCTTAGTGTTATGCTGCCCAAATGACAAAGGAAAAATAGGTTCTTGTATTTTTAATAGTAGTACAAGGAGGGGAATTCAAGCATGTAGGTGAGGAGAGCCACGCTTCTTGCTCAGTGGTAAAAGACATAGGTGTTTCATTCTGCAACAATTAGGCTCATCATATGCCCACTGCTATAACAGAGGGTTCCTGAAGCTGGTATTGCCATAGAGAAGCTGGCAAAGATAATAAACAAAGCAAACAACCTCAGTTATAACAAATGAATACATGCAAAATTTCCATTGGCAGAATTCCAGTTCATTAAATATTGGCTCCAATTCCACAAATGGATCTATGCATGGTTAATAGTAATGTATATAGAATTTGTCCTAGGTTTACAATTAGAGTTTATTACACTGATGAAGGATATTTTTAAATGGGGGAAGGAATCCCAGATTTAAGGAAGGCTGCCTACCACTTGTTTCAACTGGAGCGAACATTTTGGTTGCTTAATCACAAGGGAATCGTGCAGTTCTGTAGAGACAAAGCAGTTGAATGAACTGAAGCTTAAAAATGCCCAATCTAATTCTGTAGAAGAAGAGTCCTGCAGGCATCAATGCTCTTTGGGGAGGCAGTCCATAACTCACACTGCAGCTTGGGCCTTTATTTTTTTTACTTCAGCCTGATGGCAGAAAACGTACAGTCAATATGGTCCATTTATTAAAAATCTTAACAGGCAAGTTCCAGACTGGTATTTCTTGCCTTTAGAGATACAGTGGTGCCTCGCTTAACGGGTGCCCCGTTTAACGAATAATCCGTATACCGATGAAGATTTTGCAATCGCAAAAGCGATCGCAAAACGATGTTTTCCATGGGGAAAAATCGCTTTGCGATTTTCCCCCTACGCCCCATTTTCGCGCAGCTGATGGGCGGGGCTTCGGGCGGATGGGGAGGGGGAAGGGATTCCCCCCTCCGGAGCTGTGCTGAAAGGCCGGCTTCAGCGTCGGCTTTGGGAGGGGAGGGGGAAGGGATTCCCCCCTCCGGAGCTGTGCTGAAAGGCCGGCTTCAGCGTCGGCTTTGGGAGGGGAGGGGGAAGGGATTCCCCCCTCCGGAGCTGTGCTGAAATGCCGGCTTCGTCTTCCCCCAGCTGACTGGCGGCGGCAGTGGAGGGGATGAGGGGGTGGCTGGGGAGAGCCGGGAGGTAGGGCAAGGCCCGGGGGGTCCGGCGGCCTTCCTCCCGAGTTGCTCGCCCGCTACCCAAGGATGCCCGGTGTCTCCCGGGCTGGCTAGCTGGCTGGTTGGCAGTGCTTTGCTATGATTGGTTCCCTGCTTGGGGAACTGATCATGGCAAAGCAATGCTTTTTTAACAGCTGATGGGCGGTTCCAAAATGGCCGCCACTGTTTTCTGGACGGATTCCTCGCTTCCCGAGGGGGCGAAAATGGCCGCCCCTATGGAGGCTCTTCGCTGAACTGTGAGTTTTTGCCCCATAGGAACGCATTAAACAGGATTTAATGCGTTTCTATGGGTTTTTTTGTTCTGTTTAGCGACGATTTCACATAGCGAGGTTAATCCTGGAACGGATTGACGTCGCTATGCGGGGCACCACTGTAATGCCATGCCTCATGCTTTCTCCCCACTCCATCCCAGATATCTAGACAGGCTATCTAACAGCTAAGCATGTAAACTTTCTGCTGTCTATCTTCCATGGCGGCTACTTGGCTGCTACCTTTTCAACCTTCCCCTTCACTACATTGTATAGTAACCTGGACAACAAAACAAGACTATAAGCAGTTGTCTGGGAATCAGCAAAGGGTGAGCTGACAGTTCTGACAGAACAGAACAAACAGCTCAAGCCATCATCTAGACTAGACTACTAGTCACTCACTCTGTGAAATCTGGTCAGGGTGGCAAAATGGGACAAATCAGGCTGCATCATCACACAGCAAGATGGCTGTGGTCACCCCTTTTTGTCACATGCTATTTGTCAGTGTAAGGCGGTCAATCTACCATCATGCTCCTAACATTTTAACCCCAGGTTAGTATGCTTCTGTAAGAATTAAACATCGTAGAGCAGCGTTAGGTGTATTTTCCAAACCAGGATTAAAATGTTCCAAGACTCTAACAGATTGTACAACCAATCCTGTAATGGTTTGTCACGCAAACAGACAATTTTGTATCTTCCTTGTTGATGAAGTTTCTTTAAAAAGAGACAGTATATCAATTATGTGGGGTGGCTAATATTTCATTGGATCAAACATGCCCCCTCCAATTCTTAATGGAAAGTTCAAAATGCAAGCTTAATCAGAAAGTGGGACACCTAGACTGCTCTTGCATCACCACAACTAACTTTGGTGATTTTTATACCTAAAACAGCCTCCTATCACACTGAACTTCTTTTAATATTTAAAATAAAATAAAATATTTAAACCATTGGGGATTTACTCCTCTAGGAGGTCAACAGACCTATGGCTTGAAGCTTTAAATCAGGGTTTCTGCTACACTCAAAGGAAAAAGAAAAACAAATCAAAACAACTGTAGACTAGAGAAATTCTATCAGAGAAGTAATTTCTAAGGTTTCCAAAAGATAAATGGTTTTCTGAGAAGTGGCTTTTTGTTGGGTCATGAATGGCAGCAAAATCTGTGCAGAAAAAAGTGGGGAGGAACTTTTGCTTCATCTGGAAGAGTCCTAACAAGGCTTTCTTGGGAACTATGGTGCTGTGGAGACCATGGTAGCAAAACTGCCCCCACCAGTGCCTTTGACAGGACAAGGTGATTCTGATAGCCTGATGTATTCATTCAACAAGCCACTGTGACGACGTAATCTTTTAAAACAAAATGTGTTACCCCTCCTACATTATCATGACTAACCATGCCCAAGATCTCCTGCTGCCCACAGAATGGTGCTTAGAGTCTTCTCATGCAGACTGGCATGGGCTTGCTCCATTTCAAAGGACATTTTGTCCAAGTCTTGGAAATTATTTAAGGGCACATACTTTGACGTTACATTAGATGTGTAAAGTACTACACACACACACACACACACACATACACACACACAAAGACAACTTACTTACAGTTTGGAAGCCAGTGGTGAGGAAGAAAAGCTGTTGTATCTTGCATGCAAAATCCAGCCAAAATGGCTACTACTACCAAAAAGTAAAATTAAAAATCAAAGCCAAAAGGGGGAAAAAAAATAAAACTAAAACAAAAGCCAGATGTCACCCTGAGTCCTTAGAAAGGATGTTGTAGGGGGGAGTGAGGATGAGAAGCAGGAGGCAGCGCACAGCTTCCACATGGCCTTACTCACTTTAACAGAGACTTTGTTGCCCAGAATATCCTTGGGTTTACGTAGGCCATTGGCTTCAGCTTTGCCACTGCTTTCCTTGTCCGCCCGCTTTCTCATGCGCAGGGTATGCCATGAACATGACTTCCTGTTGTACCAAAAAATGCACCAATCAAATGGCATGTCTTTGTAGGAAGAGGAAGGGATGTGGAAAGGCAATCAGCACACACGTCCTTGATACCAGCAGCTCTCCTAAGGAGATGGAAGCCTTTCACAAGATCCCTATTTGGGTACAAACAGTCCGTTCTGAAATGGAAACTTAATAGAATTGATGTTTTGGTATTCTTGCCATTTGGAAAAAGGGGTGTTTTCTTTAAAGCATGTTTTCAGGTCTGCAAGTGAAAGTACACTATGAATACTTCTCATTAAAGTAGTGAAAGTAGTGCAAAATTGGATATATGCCAAGTCTGATTCAACAGAACAATACAAAGAATATATGTACCCTATTTCCCCGAAAATAAGACCTAACCTGAAAATAAGCCCTACTATGATTTTTCAGGATACTCGTAATATGAGCCCTACCCCCAAAATATGCCCCAGTTAAGTGAAACCCCGCCCTCCACCCTTGTGCAGCAACCAGAAGAAGATGACATGACTGTATCTGAATAAATGTTGATTGTTGTACATGAAAAAAATAAAATAAAACCTCCCCTGAAAATAAGCCCAAATGTGTTTTTGGAGCAAAAATTAATATAAGACCCTGTCTTATTTTTGGGGAAATACAGTATATATATAATATATAATTATATCTCAGAATTAAGTGCTAGGAAACATCAAAAATTAAATCACCACTATTTTATTAGATTAAGGAGATTAATCATTTCCCTGGAACAAATTTTGCTATACTTCCTATGTTCCTTTTGTTTTAACCTGCCCATGTTTTCTCACTCCAGATGTACAATAGCATTTGCTAGCAACCTAAATTTTCTGCTTTAATAAAGAGAGAATTAAACACACAATTACCACATTGTGCTCCTGTACTCTGCTTTATCACAAAATCTTTGAGTAGTACTGTATCAGGAAAGCAATATAAAAACCAAAGCTGGAAAATATGAAACCTGATTAAACAAAGCAAACAATTAAGCACATTTAATGATGAACTACTGGCTAAAATTCTTGTTATGCCTGCCATTTTATGTTAACAGAAATTTGATTACTTCACAAATCTCTAATATATTTCAGAGAGAAAGAGAAAGGTATTGATACACGAACTTCTCCTCTGTTTTTCATGTTGCAATTGTAGTACTGGGTTCTGATACTAGATAGAGATTTGAAGTACAAATGCCAAAGGAAAATCCTAATGAAACTCAGGTGAATGGCTGAAAACACATAAAAGCGGGCATAAACACACACATCTTTGAACGTTCATGTACGTGAATCTGGCAGAGGACCTAGAAATGTGTTTGCAATATTCACTTTTTTTGCTCTGCTTCTTTGTGTGGGAACAGTGTGAAGAGCTGCCTGAAATGGCATATAGTTCTGGAGATACTCTGCAGTGCATATAGCGCAATATGAATCATCAGCGCAGGACTGAACTCAACCCGATGAACATTGTGTTCCAGAATTGAAATGTCTTGTGCTCGTTACATCTTCCATTAAGTTAGTACTGGATGAATATTAAGAAAGAGGACTTATTACAGCAAGGAAACCACACCATCATAAGACTAGGCTTGTTTATACTAGTTGTGTTTAGTAGGAGTTTAGGGGCTGTGCATATGCTGCAGCAAGGCAACGGAAGTTTTGTAGGCTGGCTGGGGGTGCTGGGAAGAACAAGTAATGGATACTGATTACATTAGATCTACTTCAGCCCTGTTCACACATTCCATGAACAAGTGGAGTAAGGAACCTTGGGTCCTGTTCTTGCCCACTCAACCACACCTGTGATCCCACTCCTTTCATGTGTTCAGCAAATGCATGTACTGAAAGTATGAAGAGGGGCTGAGTCTGCAGTTGTCATTTTTAAATCCTCTACTATGCTTGAAAGCAGTAGCCAGAAATGAGAGGAACGTGGGAAGGACAGACACATGATAAAAGAAAGTAAAACTGGTGAACGAACACGAGCCAAGATTCTCAAGGCCAAAGGTCTAAAGGAACTGAGAATTAGGGAGGTTTCTCCACATTCTCTGATGGGTTTAGGTCAAGTTCTTATGCTTCCCACCCTGAAAATCATATTTTATTCACACAGGTGCAATTTTTAGTGTACCGTTTCCCTTCTGATAATGGTATAATTTTGTTGATACAAAACCATTGCCCTAAATTCCACAAACCCAATCAATGTGGAAAGCCACTGGTGTATTTCATAGGGATCAGACATAGCCACGCGGCAGTGGTGTTTTCAGCTGCTACGGTGCCACTGCTGTACACAAACCAGTCCCAGTAGACAAGCTAGAGAAATAATAGATCCGTGAGCTCAGTCACCTCTGCAGGTGACTATTGTTATCAAGCTGCTAAGGAGGTGTGAGGGTACACATGAATGAGGTCTTACTTGCAGTCACATGTCTGCCTTCCCTGATGGGAACACTGTTCTTCCCAAACGTTCATGTACAGATGTAGGGCTTAAATGCCTGAAGCCTTGACCCCATTTTGTGGCCCTAAGGGTTTGAAAGATATCTGACCACTCTGGCAAGAGGCACTTGCAATGGGCAGGACTTTGTTACTGTAGATTCTGCTGTAGACACAATTAGATCAGATGAAGAGATGTGCTACTGATCTGTTAACTGTGGTTAAGTAATGTTGGCTTTGGGGCTCACATGCTTCAGGGTGTTTTCCCCTTCTCTTATTGGCCTCAAAGTTTAATAGTACACAAAAACCAGTGATTGTCATGAGTTACATTAAGGAAATTCCTTCTTAACACAAATCATATTCAGAGATTAGAATGTGTAGAATAAATAGTCCTGTGAAAAGGGGGCCACTTTAACCCTGCCTCCCCACAATTGCCACTACACACAGAAGGAGACAAGTGCGAGATGATGATTTCTACTATTCATGGACCTTCACCATGGGGGTCAGGTCCCTGATCTTCCAGAGTCCCAACTCACATGAACCTCCTTGGGCAAAGAAGGCAGTCCCTCTTTGGACTCACCAACTTTCATGTGTAGGACGAGGCTGGAAGTGATGTGGGGTGTAGAATGTTCCTGTCTTTGTATGATAATTCTACTTAGTTTTTTGCCACTAAAGAGGCTTAATGATTTGCAATATTTACTCTAAACAAAGATTAACAGAAACTCTGCTTAGCTTAAACGTGGTTGGCATCTGCACAGCTTTAACAATTATGATTAAGGCAAGTAAAACATAAGGGTCGTATGCAAAGTTCATGTGGCCTATTTCCATATATGTGGCCAATCGGGAGTTGAAGTCCAGCCCTCCGTATGCCGAACTCCAACTCCAGTTGTCACTGCTATCTAAAGCTGGTGAGAATTCTGGTCCGAAAAGTTGCCCTCCCACAGTTTAGATTACCAGCACTCTATCTATTGGGTTTTATTCATCTGTTGCGATGCGCAGGAATTGTAGTGCGGTGTTTAAAATTTAACTGAATACAGCCATCCTGCAACAAATGGTATTTTAAGGCATTCGTTGCAACAACCAACATGGACTGATTTTTGACAACTGAAGATTAAAAAGAAAACAACAGGTTTTACAGAAAAGGATTGTACCTTCAGTATTTAATATCAAAAACATATTCTTGCATCATTTAGTCATTTCAAAATGACAGATTTCAAAAAAGGGGAAAATAGTATTCACATATTTGTTAAATAACCAACAAAACATTGTAAAGAAAAAAAAAGAACTAAAGAGGGTCAGAAATTGGTCCTTTTAACCTTGTCAAAACATGCTTGTAGTGAAAATTTATTTTACATATTTAAAATAGTACATTTAAAATTATTAGTTACATTACAGGTACAATGATGAACATTGTGACTATCCATAATATTGCACAACCTCACTTCAAATATGAGTTTCTTTAAATAGTGCAAAATACTTTTTACAGGAATGTACTCTGAAGGGGTTTTCTCAAAGCAATTTTTTTTTTACAAAATATTATGTGAACAGAAGAAATAAAAATAAAAAATGTTACAAACTGTACAAGAAATTGCCATAGACAACATAAAATTTCTCTTCCTTCAGAAGCAAGACTCAATCTAATACAAGGGCTGACCATACGTGGTTGGTGTTTTTATATATATATATATATGGGTGTGGGTGAGTGGGTGGAGATATATATATATATATAAACAATTTAAACATGAGATAAATAGCAGTCCAGTCCAAACCAGGTCCATTATTAAGAAAAGATGGAAAAACATAAAACATGCCTTTTGAACTATCTATGGATTTTAATTCTTTACAAACCAGAGGAGGGGGGGAGAAACACAAAAATTCAACAAAAACCTGATTATTCCAGCATGGATACCCCATGCTGTGTTATCAAGTGAAGTTTGTTCCAATGGCACTGTAGATTTTTAAAAATTAAAATTAAAAAAAGCCGGAAAAATCCTACGATTTGGACTATTTTTCCTCAAAAATCCACATATTGCTCCCAGGGAATCCAACAGAGCACTTACTTTATGCTTCCGTCGCTATTATCTGTAGTTGATTTTGTGAGGGGAGCCAAGATATTCCCTGGGATCCATCCTTCTGCTGCTGGTGAATGGTCATTGGCAGGCTGGTATACAAGGAACATGTTCTGCTGGTTAATGGCAAGGACTTGGACCACCTCACCCTGGTTGACACAGATTTCATTCTCCTTGAGTGCATAGTAATCTTTAATGACCACCATAGACGAGGTCCCATTGCACCCACCCAAGTCGTTCTAGAAAGGAGACAAAAAATAACAGTGATAAGATAGCTCCGGCACAATTCTAAGTTTGCAGCATTACATTCCAGGCAGCACACATTCAACAAGGACAAGAGTTTGCAAGACCCACATTCTTCACTCCCCCTGCCCCCACAAAAAAAGGGTTACATTCTACTCAGCTCCAAGAGTACCTGCTCAAAAATTGTGAATGGCACTGGAAAATGCTTGCAGGTACAAGTCTGAAATTATGAATTGGGCTTTTAATGATTATGCACACTCGATTTCTTTCTTGATTCAGTCCCCATATCTTCTCACAATGTTCTGGGAGATCCCATCCCATTTAACTATCTTATCCAGTAGCCTGGAATTTTCTCTGAAACAACAGCCATCACCACCACATCTTGTGCAAATGAATTCCATAAATACAGTAATTTGAAATAGTTTTACATAACTGTTTACAATTTTATGGAACTTCAAACACAAAGCAAAGCAATACATTTGATACAAGTGCTAATGCACTTTTTTCTGGAGCCAGCGAGAAAGTTAAAAATCTAAGGAAGCACACAGCAAAATTGCAGCTATTTTTTCCCTAATGCTGAACTGCTAACATTCAGTGCTAATAGGGTATAGCTGGCAGAGGTGAAGGCACAGATGGAGACTAAAAAAACAGGTGGAGCCCCTGTGGGCCACATACTGCCCCCCCCCATGCTACAGCCTTCATTTTGGGACCAGAGATGGCGGGGGGAACCAGAACCATATTCAAAAGTTGAGATATTGGCATTCCAGTTTTCGGTCTAAGGATACTATAAAACCAGATGTTTGCATTTTCTTGGTTTTCTAAATTGTGAGTTGTCTTTTTCTGCACACTTAATTGACAACTGAGTTCTACAGATCTCTGCTTTTCGACTGTGACTGCCAGAATCTCCTGATCCAAAACAAAAAAATCACTCACTGACATTTTTACGGAGGGAGACGGCACTTTCCTATTTGTCATCCTTGTGACTGTTAGGGCTAAGTTCACATAGTGATACACCATGTAAACTACTGGACATCTCAGTGGTTTAGGGAGCTATGGAGCCAGAGGTTGGGAGTTCAATTCCCTACTGTGCCTCCTTAACAGGGGCTGGACTCTATGAGTCCCTTCCAGCTCTTCGGTTCTAAGATCATCATCATCATCATGAGGTCTGGACAGGAGGACAGGAGCTTTGCTAAAGGAGACTGAATAGTGGCAGAGAGTAAACGTCACCTTCTTCAAATTAGTACACAGGTACAGGACTGCATGTTTGGCATGAAAAGGGACAGATGTACATGAAAGAGTTTGTTGATGAAGACAGATGCGTTTTCTACAAGTGAACAAGAAATATCAGATTGTTTCCTTTTTAGAACCCCTTTACCATTGCTAAATCATTGCTCCTATGCAATTAGTCCGAAGCTGAAAGCAAACATAAGCATTTAATATAGCACTATATTGTCTAGCAATACCTTCTTCCTGGCAATTTTTAAAAATAATGTTTACTTGGGATGAAATCCTATTTAAAGATTCCTAGCAACATTAATTACAACTTGCCTGTTTGTAGATTCAACTTATTTTATTGCATCCTCATATTAAATGACTGCTTACATTGTTGCAATAACAATGTGTTATTTTATTTCAGTGTAATGAACTGAAAGAAGGAGGGAAAGCAGGTAAAACCCCAGCCCCTTCCCCCTGAAGCAGGAGCTGTCATTAGCAACAAATTTGGTAGCTATTAATAATTTCCTGCTTTCAAGCAGGAAGTGTTCAGTTAAAGACAAAAGATCCCTTAAAGCATTCTGCCTGTCAATAGGACAGAGATGGAATTGTTCTTCATTCTTAAAAAGAAAAGAAGAAAACAGCTATACGTCAGACCTGGAAAAGCTTTGAGTACTGCAGAATACCCACTGATGCACTCTGATCACAATAACATTACGTGAGTGTTCTACAAAGGGACAGCAATTCCAAGAGGAAAGGCAATTCTGCACTCTGTACTCTCATCAAGAGACTGGAAAGGCAGCAATCCAAGAGGAAAGGCACTCTGTACTCTCATCAAGAGACTGGAAGAGTTGCTTTGCATGCTGAAACCACTTGTTCTGTATTTTCTAACCAAAACCTGGCTCAACCTTATTTGCATGGCATGGCATACAAACCATTCTGTAAGAGGACACCACTTGTTTTGTATTTTCTAACCAAAACCTGGCTCAACTTTATTTGCATGGCATACAAACCATTCTGTAAGAGGATATGATTAGAGGACACAAAGGAGAGACTGTGTTAAGTGACAAAAGATAACAGAGCAACACATTTATCCTTATTACTTCATCAGGATGGTAGCAGCTCAGACAAGACAGCTGTGTATATAGTTTAACGTTGCCTAGTTATAAGCTTCATCTGAAAATGCTGAAAATGATTTTAAGTATTATGAGTTTGGCAGCCTCATATATAATTTCTTAAGAAATTACCTCTTTGTTCTTGTTCACAACTTTTAGGTGGTCAACTATGGGCAAAATCTTCTTCATGCAGGCTTACCATAAAGTTATGCCTGTGTGTGCCTCATGTACACCTGGCAACAAGGAATTGTGCAATTGTGCTCTTGGGTGTACAGCTCCCACTGTGATAGATTGTATGATGCACTGGCAGATGCGTTTTGTTGATAGCATTTCCGTCTGGGCTCTATTGTAGCAACTGCAGGCATAACCCATGTAGCTAAGTGAAAAGAATTTGCCCTAAAATTGCATGTAAGAACAATGGGTTAAGTGCCTCTTCCCTGTTCTCTGAAAGGCACAGACAATGACTCCTTTTGTTTCTAACTGTCAGGGCTTCCTTGCAAAGATGTGCAGTAAAAATATTATCATTAATATTTTCTATAGGTGAATTAAAAGGAAGGAAGGAAACATTTGAGGGTTTGCCTCTTCCTGCTTTCCTTTCAGCTTCCTTTTTTCAATTGCACCACACAAATCATAAAGCTCTTCCTAACACCAATCACAAATGTGCAGAAAGAGATAAAGACCGCCTACTTCTTGGACCAACCATTATTACCTGATCCAGTGGCCAGCAGACAACAGCTACATCTAGAATGACGGCAGTGGCACCTAAGCGCAAGAGAAGATAATCCACAGAATACAGAAGAGCACATACCTTGCCTTGTTCATATTTGTCCCCAGGCTGGTGCTGCTCATGCCCTGTGCTGCCATTGGAGGTAGATATCTTCAGAGGTGGAAGAGATGGGTTACGCATGGTAGCCTTCAAAGGTTTCTCAGATCCTACTGGACCTGAGGAATAGGGTCTGGTGATAGGCTGAGGTACCTTGCTGGCCTGGGGTCTCATTACAGCTGAGCTGCTGCTTTCTTTGCGCTGGTACTCTATAGGAGATTGTAGTGCTGGAGCAGAATACTAAGGGTTAGTATTGTCCTCCTCATTGGTGACACTGTGCTTGGCTCACATGAAGGATGCCACGTGCTGTACATTTCCAGGGGGGTAGTCTCTGGTCTGTCCAGCAAAGATAACAAAGAATCTTGTGCCACCTTAAAAACTAACAATTTTTATCCAGAGTAAGCTTTCTAGAGTGCAACCTGAGATGCATCTGAAGGAGAAAGGTAGCATCCACAAATGCTTGTGTCAAATAAAACTTGTTAGTCTTTAAGGTGCTGCAAGACTCTTTCTTATTTTTGCTGCAACCAGCTTATCGTCTTTCATGATATAACAGCATTATACAGGGGACCACCTTTAAACCCACGTGGAGAGAAAAAGCCCAGTTCCTAGCTGCTGAATGGGAAAACCCTGGAACTCTCTCTTCTTAAAGAGAGGAAGGAAGAAGGAAGCACTTGAGAAAATGCTTCCTGAGCAAAGATGTAGCCAGTGCTACCTTCCGGACTGTTCAGGATTTAGAGTGACATAGCCTTAGAAAAGCAACAGTAGGAAGGGCCTGGGAGCAGTGCTGATGTTTTGTTATACACGATTTTACATCACTGCTACTCCTGAAGTGTAGTGGTTTCCCTTTTTTACAAAATGTAGAGAGGTATAAAGCTGGTACGTGAGATAGATCAAGGAGGCTGTTGCCAAATTCCAGTTTAGGAACAAGCAGCAAAAGAATATATAAATGGGTACAAATCATCTCCAAAAGCAGCTCATTTATACGCTCATCACTCACTTACACATACGCTTTACACCATATGGGAAACTGAGTGTTGTACAGTTTCAGTAAAATATTACACAATTTCTATAGAATATAAATCTACTACATCAATCAGATCAACATTAAAACTGCACTAACAGTCCACGTGAAAATGCATAAGAAAAGGCACTGGTTTAATGCAGTGGTTCCCAACCTCCCAGAAATCCTAGCTAGCACAACTAGTGGTGAAGACCTCTGGGAGTTTTAGTCCAAGAACAAATGGGGACCCAAGTGTATGAAATTAATATGGTACAGAAATCCTAACAGAAGTAGCCTTTTTTGAAGGATACCATGCACATTTTATTACTGGATGATGAAACTGAGGTGTGGAAGAAATGCAGAAGGAAGACAGTTTACATGGAAAGTGAAAAAGTATTGTCACCGTGTATATACAAGTATTATATAAAAGTATTTCCAGCTAAAGCTAAAATGACTTCTGATTTGGAATCGCCATGATGCTGCAGCCAAATATTCATGGCGTAAGAAGGATACTTATGACTCTGTGTGACTACCACTCTGTAAAGCGTGGGTGAGTGATCTTAGTAAGTTTGGGGGCCAGATCACTGCCACAGACTTCACCATGGGGCTGTACCAAATCCAGAAATAGCAAAAGTTAGATATAGATATCTAAATCCAATCCAACAGGAATTGGCTGGACAGGCATGTTGGAGTTTTCTTTTATGGATTTGGGGGAATGAGGATCTTGGTGGAAAAACTGCTATTCCTGGAAGCCTCTAGAAGCTTTTTAAAGGCAAATATTGGGTGGTGGGATTTTTCCTCCCTGTGGGTTGCTCTGGGGAATGCAAAACTGTCCCTAAGGGACTGTATGCAGCCCACAATCCTCACATTACCACTGGAGCTTTAAAGTTTCTGCAAACAATGACTAGCTCTACAAATTACAAGAATTATAAAAAGATATCCTGCTACTTCCCTGCTTTTTCTCTTCGATTTCTGATCAAATACAGAAATGTGACAAGATCTTGTTCAATACTTGGCAGTAGTCCAGAGGTTATATAGGCACGCTCTGGTAAACTACCTCTTGGCAACTAATGGCCTGTATCATCCAAACTGCCCAACTTCACAGAGGTGGTATTTAACATGAAGTGCTCACTGTTCTGAATGCCATGGACACTGTAATATCAGGAGAGAGCCCCATCTGGCTGGTTTAAAAAGATAAGAGGGAGAGAGTGTTTCGGCCTAGCTCCTAATATGCTACGGGGAATTTCTCTTCAACAAGCACCCACATCTTCATCCAATCATGCTCCAAATGAAGGGAAGATTGCAATAGAAAGGCCTGCCAGAGTAATATCAGCGTGGATAGGAAGAATGTTTCATTCCAAAGTTCAGGCTCCATCAGAAAGCATTTGAGCCTCATAAGGTTGTATAGCGACAAAACACCTACCATTTAAGAAGTCCCTCTGTGTGTCCAACACTTGATTAATATCCTGTACCCAAGCTTGTTGGATTTCTGGATTGGCAGCTTGTAAGATGAGTCGTTCTGATGTTTCCCTACTCATTAGAGCAAACTTGCAAGGGTCATTATCCACGTTCTCCTCCAGGATTAGGTAGGTCATCTGCAAGAAGCCACAAAAAGTTCCAAGGCCAGTTGAAGGGGGGGGGCAAGGTCACATCCACGTCAATTTTTTTTTCTGCAGTTCAGGCCAAAAGGAGGCTATCCCTCCAAAGCTCAAAGCAATAAATTAGCCTCTTCAGATAAGGAATTATCTAAAAGTATAATCCTAAAGCAAACATTTGACTTTCAGTTTTTTCTTCAGCTGTTGAGTCAAGTAACTTCAGCAACTGCTGAACTATCTTTGAATTATTGCTTTCTTTAAAAGGCAATGGCTTTGCAGTCAGCACTGTTACTAGTTAGCAAACAGTAAACTACTCTACACAAAGGCATTCTAAAACAGAGATTATTTTTGGGGTATCTTGCCAGTAAAAATAATTCTATTTTGTGGAATTTTAGACTGGCTAAGGATGATTGTATACATATTGTATTGATGTTTAACCGTACTTCTTATATGTCTTATGAATTTGATGTTTGGAGTAGGAAAAGGAGTGGAACACAGCTGAATACAGGAAAGATTGTGGATTCCACCCCACTATATATCTGTTCCCATTGCCTTCCATCAAAGTAGCATTTCGTGCACATAACAGGCTGCAGGAATAACATCACATGCATGTGCCAGGAAGTTCAGCCCTTCAGCAGTTTCTATTTTCTTATAAAATAGGCACATGCACTCTTCCCTCTTACTCCATTCCTTCATATCCATATGAAGGAATGCACACACAGTATAATCATACTACCTTGCTTCTTTCTGTAATCTACCACAACTGAAGAATTTGATATTAGAAGATGTCATAATAAAATAGCAGGACTGGAAAATGTCTAATGGGTACCTTCTGCATTGAAGCAAGAGGAACCCATTTTAAGATACAATGTGCAACACATCAAGAGCAGGAACACATACAAAAGCAGTATACTAACATTTCCAAATGATTCGAGGAAGCACACCATGTTACTGACAAAATATCCTTAGCAATTTCTTACCTTTATGTTTCGCTTAAATAGATACCCCGGAGTCAGAGAGCCTTTCCGAAGGAGTTCACTAAAGATAACTATTTGTTCAAAGAGGAAAACTCTGCGCTCTTTTGGCCGAGACAGCCCTCCAGAATCCTGCTCTGTCACATAGAACGTATCCTGCTGCAGTAACTTTCCTTGTGCTGCCAGCTTGCCCTAAGACAGATAAGAGAATAAACACAGAGGGTAAAAAATATAAAAAGTCATTTATTTATTCAGTTTAATGGTTGTCCTACAACAAGTTCTTCTTGGACTGAGATACATAAACACAGATAAGACACAACTAAAAGTCCCACAAAGCACATATATGCAAATCTGTATCCAAAAGGCAGAACCAAAAATCCAACAAAGCTGCTATAGAAAGAAACATAAGAGGAAGCAACCTCTTTCACAGAGGTAAAGTACAAACTAGAGAAGAATACACCATTTTAAAAGCTTGCAAGAGTAAAAACATCTCAGCTTGACATGAAGAAGGGGAGGCCATTCCAGAAACAGAGAGGTATCACTAGGGAGGCCTGCTCATGAGTAGCAACTCATTGCTTCTCAGTATGAGAGGGCCTCTAGTGATGACATCAAGGCATACACAGGAAGAGGAGGTGTTTCAGATACCTGTGGCCCCAAACAGTGAAGGTTCTGGCATCTATCAAGATTCACATATTATCATATGGTGCAAAGCAATTGGTTCATGAATTAAGAGTGCTTAAGATCAAATGTGTTTCACCATTTAAATTTATGACAATACACTTAACTAATATCTGCATATGCCCAATACTCTAACATGGATGTATGGTGTTATGCAACACAAGTTCCTGTATATGCTCTCTAAAAAAACCAACTTCATCCAAAAAGCAGAAGGGCTACAGGAATTTGGCATATAAAGGAACAGACATCACACACTATACTGTATTGTGTATATAGTGAGAACTTGTGTCCAATATGTATACGATTTTAATATGGACAAATCTGCAAATTAGGTATCTCTGTCTGAAGGAATTACTCAAAATGGCTGTCAATATCAGTTTTCCTTCGTGAAACAGTTTCATGAAACAAGGAACTATTCCATAAGCTAAAGAAGTTTGAACAATATAACCCTATTCAGATATTCTTAAGCATGTTTGTCATACACATGAGAAGGGGAGTATGCCGGCCCTGCCGAACCATTGCTTTGCTTGTGTAAAAACCAGCAAGCTGGAAGACAAATCAGTCGTCTCCACATGTAGAGATGCTCCATGACAGTCTGAACCCTTGTTTCCCCATGGATTCCATGGAGTGCCACCATAAACAGAGTTCTCTGTATCCTTCAGACTCACCACCTTTCAGATAAAGCAAGGGGTGGAGCAAGTGTATAAGTAAACACTTCCTCCTCAGGCAAGATTTAGACTAGAAACATTGTGATAATTTTTCCCCTGAGATTCAGGGGGAAAAAGATCCCACTGAACGTTTTTAAATACATTGTCTGGGACAGAGTTCCAACAACTGTTGTATCACATTTATACTCAAAAGATAGTATAAACATCTACCTCAAAGCCTTGAAGACGGCCCAGGTTCATCATGTCATTGCAGCGCTTAGGAACAAGGCACATCAGCTCCACAGCTTTCTATTGGGAGGGAAAAATGAACACAAAGATGAAAGGCCACCCCATCCATTCCTCTGTTCCAGGAACAGCCATCCACATGTCAACATTTCACCCACACAGATTAGTAAGTGTGTTTCGGCAGAGCATGCTGGTAGAGCAAATAAATCCAGATAACTCAAACAATTAAGCCAATACATACATTGCAAGAAAAAAAAAGAACCAGTTCTTAAGGTAACTAGCTAGTATCAATGTATTTGTGAAGGCTTTCACAGCCGGGATCTAATGGTTGTTGTGGGTTTTTCGGGCTCTTTGGCCGTGTTCTGAAGGTTGTTCTTCCTAACGTTTTGCCAGTCTCTGTGGCCGGCATCTTCAGAGGACCTAGTATCAGTTTAGGAGAAATGCCCTTAACCTTCCAAACACAGCTTCTAGTTACACTCTAAATGTATCTCAACTACAGAATATAAAACAATGGTACTCAGGATATGCAGAAACAACATCTGCTGCTCATAAAGCTTGGTTTTAATTCACTAATTTCAGCCCTAATTACATTTTGTGTCAAATACTGCTCAAAAAGAATGCAGCATTATTTTTTTTTCAAAACTGCTACAGAAAGAAGGAATTTTCATTAGCAATGGGGACTTCGGGATTTTTTGGACTTCAACCCCCAGAATTTCCCAAGGAAGAATTTGGAGAGATGCAGCAAAAAACAGACATTTACAGAGTAATTGTTACCTATTTGTGGGTCTCTGTCACCATTATTGGCCTTTCAAGGAGGAAGAAACTACCTTAGTGATGGCTGGGAGTGGCCAGGCTTCATGGGAGTCACAAGGGTTCATGGGATGGATAGTTCTTTGAGAGGCTCCCTGGGCTGAGCTTGAGGGACAGCAGGAATGCCCGTCCCATAAACGTTCAAGACATTCATGGAGCCTAGCCACCACCCAGCAGTTTCCTTCTTCCTGAAAGGCCAGGAATGACTTCTTTATTGTTTGCCATATTTAAACTGCTCTTCCAGAACAGAAACAATTATTTACATTCTGCATCTTGATTAAAACTTGGCTCATAACATAACTAATCTCATTATGGAGTAATCAGTGACCGTGAAAAATAAAAAACATGTAAGAGGGCAAAAGAGTCAGCAGACAAATGCATACCTCTATCTCTGAACACTCCAGCCCAGCTTTTTCACTATATTTTAAAAAGTCCTACAAGAAAGACAAGCATATTATTTCCATAAAATGATTCACAATAACCACCTTAAATCTCCATAAAGAAATAATATACAGTGTGTGTGTGTGTGTGTGTGTGTGTGTGTGTGTGTGTGTATACACACCCTCTTATATACACAAACACACACACACACAAAACTATATTTACCGCAATGTACAACTGAAATGCAAATTCAGAATTCACTGCTAGGGTTTTGCCTGTGGCATTTTGTCAATAATACAGGGCAGAGAAGGGGGCTTTCCTGAGCGTAGCCTATCTTGACTTCTGAGCTGCAGCAGGCCAGGGGTCTGCCCAGAGAAATGGGGAGGGAGGTCTCCAAGGCTTTAGAGTGCCTGCCTGCTTGTGAAAATATATTTATACCCCATGCACTAAGCAACAGTTCTTAATAAAGCTTATAATGAAATGCAACACACTGCAACCTCTCCAGCAAGCAAGTCAAACTGGGGCAAATAAATTTTTTTGGTAGCATGTTCTGAAACCTACAATAATTCTGGTGTGTATAAAAGCACCATAGGACTTTGTAGCTGCTTATACATCAGATTATTTTTCAATTCTTGATGGGACTGAAAGGGCCATCTGGAAAACAATATCCCACCAACCTTTCTGAGCCCAAGACCCTCGACACTACCCAACAAATCATTTTTTCATCTTGGGAGAAGTTCCCCACAGGTCTGATGCAGTGCAAGTTGGGGGAGTGGGGATGAGGATAACCACAGGGTTCAAACTAGTTTCATGTTTTTTGCTTGACATTTAACATCCTTCGTGTATTTCACCTTGAGTAGTAGCTGATACTTGGTAATTCTTTGAATGGGTTTGATTAGAAAGTCACTGAGAGTTAAGCGCTGGTTTATTTCTTGTTGCACCTCCTAGAAGATAAGCATTAAGAAACGTTAACATTATTAGGAAAAAAATGTCTCCTTTTTTCCATGAATTGAGGTAGTGTACAAAGGGTCCTCCATCCACAGATACAACCTTGTTTGATTAAACCAAAAATTTTTAAACGTGTGCCTGAAATTACAGCACAATATTGGAAGTTTCCATAGTGACTGGCTAGAATGACTTGTTGTGGCTTTCATAACACCTCCTAGCAATTAAGTCTATGAAGAAACAGACCTGGCATTTCTCTACTCCTGTCGTGATTAAAGTAGAGCTGTTTAAAACATTTCTAAAAATAAGTTTATTGTCTCTCTGTGTGAGCAGGTAATCAAGCATAAGACACCTTCAAAAACTGTCTGCAAACATTTTAGGGACAAACTGATCATTAGGACTATTTGAATTCTCAAATGCAACAAAATGTAATTCTAAAATAACACTACTCAGAGAATAAATTTGTACAGGTGCTAGCAGAAGTCTATATTTCTATAACATTTTAACTGTTAAGTGACAAACAGTTAAGAAACTAGGTGGCATGGAAGGATTACTCTTTTTTCTTCTGCATCCCCTATTGCTAGTCATTTTTTTGTATACATATCACCATCTCCGACAACTAGGGTAATTGTTTCAAATATATCATTTTTCATAAAGAGATGGAAAAAAAAACAGTAGCACCTTAAAAGAATAAAGAGTTTACTATGGTACAATAGTTCAAACTGTTTGTATTCCATTCTATTTCCTTGCAAACATGGCCTTGGCTCCAGCCAGCTGACAGAGAGTTCCTTTTTTGTCCCTCCCCACTGCCTGGGCATTCTCTACCTATCAGGTAAAACAGGCGGTAAAGGGGGGATTTGACCATGGAAGTAACAAGAGAGTAGGTAGATGTCAAGGAACTCTACTGGAAACAATGTGACAAGGACTCATGTGGGCAGAAGAGCAAGGACTCACTGCTAAATATGAGGCAGTGAAAGCAGAGAAGAGAGCTGAACCGCAAGTCCGAGGTATTAACCAACAAAGTTGTACAAATATGTACACACAAGGAGGAAAGGAGAAATAATCCTGCAAGTATGATGTTTAAGCTATAGCATGCATGAAACATCCTGTGAAGGAGGCCGAGTCTTACCTCAAAATATGGACCACATTCTGCTACTATATATTCAGATTTTGGTTTGTTTTGACAGTACACCACATACATGTGTAATCGCCTCTCCTGTAAAAAGCAAAATTTACACAGCTGTCTTGGATTAAGGCCAACTACGACTTTTACCATGCCATGTACAGCAGCAGAAAGCAAATTTCATTATTCCCATACCATAAGATTTAACCAGAAAGAAAGAACCTGAACAAGACTCTTAAACCGCATGGGGATGCTGGACATATGTATAGAGAGACATGTCCAGTCAAATGTCTTCTTACATAATTTGTGTACTTTGTTTAAATCACCAGAAAATTCCAAATATTACTTTACTGTGTTTATGGCTTTAGTTGACACTTTCTTAATCTTATTTGATATCTTTCTAAATGTGATCTCAGACAAGTCAGCATATGCTATTTTCCTTTTGAAAGGGATTAAAATGTAACTCACGTGTTTGATGAACAGCTGTGCTAAACGGTCATGCTCCTGAAGGCACTTTTCAAGTTCAGCAAGAAAAAAACTGAAATGAAAAGAAAAGGCTATTCAGTGTCATGTGCCCCAGAATCCCTTGCTACAGCAAAAGTCATGTGGAAAAGGTTCCCTGACTGAGGGTAAGAAGTTTGAAATTCACCTTTTTGACCTTTTCAAAATTAAGGGTCCAATATCAGACCTGCAGCATATTGACCATGGGGCCAATAGGTGTGGTTGTGATTTTAGAGTGGTCAATTTCAGAGAGGTTAAAGTCTAAGAGATGTCCAAAATCATTCGTGGCAGCGAAACTACATAATAAAACTTTTGCTGAACTGGAGTGGGAGAAAGAGGAGTGGTACAGGCCAAGGAAAATATATTTGTAAATGGAGCAGATTTGGGGATGTTAGCAACAGTCATTTAATCGTGGTTATAGACTTACTCTTTGTGCCAGTCATAGATTTGGTGAATATTTCCAAACACAATCTTGTCTTTCCCTTTCATGTCTTCAGGAACACCTTTTTCTTCTATTCTTTTCATGAAGCCCTTTAGCAGAAAATCAGTGATTAAGCTATGGTAGACTAGGATGGAAACAGTAATTACGTCTACTTTTCTTAACAACCGAGGTGGTTTTATCTTGATTTCACAAGGTGTGTTAAGGTATTTTGGATTTTACAGTACAAGTCTTTTGCAGTTGTTTGCAAAAAGGCAATATCAACGCATTTATCCCATTTCCTCGGATCAGATAAAACTGACAACTTTGGTTCCTGCAACTAAACGGTTTAAGAAGAGTTTGCTCTGGCTTAACATACCTCCACCACAATTCCTAAGTCCTTGACGTAGTCTTTCTCCGTCTGAACCAGTTCATTTAAAACAAACCTAGAATCCAAGGGAGAGATACTTTGTTGAGGCCAGGTATCAATGTCCAGAAACATCTTCTTTTCATAACGTTAATAGTTGACATTACACACCATGGTGGAGCTTAAAGTGACATACACAGGCTTCACAGATTACCGTTCATCTATAGACTGATAAAACCTAGATCCAGGCTGCAGTGGGTGACAGCAGGGCAACTCAAGTTGACTGGTACAGGTAGCTACCACTGAGCAAGGAGATCGGTGGTTTTTTTAACAGATAAAGGTGTAAAGAGCTTGAAGCTACACCATCCAAAATAAGGCATAAGCAGGGTGCAAAAAGGAACAAAGTTATTCAAAAGTGCAAAAGCAACCATCTTCTTCCACTTGTACTACACAAAACATCTGCAGGGGTTACTGCACTAAAAATAGAGGATAACGACATAGTAAAAAGGAATAGTGGGTAAAAACTATTTAAAAGGAACAGCAGAAACAGGTTCACAAATTTTGACCACATGAACGGTCCTGTTGAGGATTCTAATTGATCTTGCATGTTATTATCACTTGCTTTGAACTAAGGGAAGCTCACTGCAAAGGGGTCTACCAGCTAGCATCTGTCATTACCACCACACTCACTAGCCCCAAACTGACTCATAAAATGGATAGTTACATAATATGTATAATTTTTAGATTCTTAAATGCAAATGTAATCAATTGACAAAATTAACTTACATCCTGCCTCTCATAGCTTTGGCTTTTTGTTCTTCTTCGAGGTTTCTTGAAGGAGGAGTTGAAGGCATCACATTTTCATTTAAGCATCCCGTGGTATCTTTTAAGCTCCCTCGGTAGGAGCCTCCTTCTAATGTCTTAAAAGTAAAGAGAGAGAAAAAAACAACAGGTTTAACAGAAAGTATTAATGTCTGGCTATATAACTAGAGTCACTACATTTCTCAAATTTTCTGGTTTTGTAATCATTAGTAAGAAGGGAAAATCCTTTAGTATTCCCTATATATATAGTCCTTGGTACAGCCAGATGTGGACAACATAACAGAACTGGTAGCATGCCTCACTTTATATAATTTGAACATCTCATTAATTCCACTGAACTATAGTGGTGTTTCATTAGAACATTCTAGAACCCTCCTAAACAGGAGAGAAGTTAAAAACTAAAATCTTATACAGAGGATTGAATCTATACATTCACTTGGAAGTAACTCCCATTGAAATCTATAATCTAGGTGTTTATTTTTTCAAATATTTCTGTACCAGGTCTGCTCTGAAACATAGCTTTAGTCCAGTTAAGCTAGCATATACCTTCAGATTGCATTCTCCCACATCAGCTGGTACCCAATTTGCAGTAAATGTAGATTTCTTCCAGAAACATATGAGTATATTATACGGATACATTTCTAAATTTATCCAGTTTGCATTATTATCCATTCTTACAGAGGAACAAATATCAATTGTTACAGTAAAAAGAGAAGCAGAGAAATTAAGCAATACCACCAAGAAGCAGTATGTTTGTGATCTATAACACCGTGTTTCCCTGAAAATAAGACGGGGTCTTATATTAATTTTTGCTCCAAAAAATGAAGTAGGGCTTTTTTCAGGGGATGTTTTATTTTTTCCATGTACAACAATATACATTTATTCAAATACAATCATGTCATCTTTGTCTGGTTGCTGCACAATGGTGGAGGGCAGGGTTTCACTGAACTGCGGCTTATTTTCGGAGTAAGGCTTATATTATGAGCATCCTGAAAAATCATACTAGGGCTTATTTTCAGGTTAGCTCTTATTTTCGGAGAAACAGGATACCCAACACCACCCCAAAAGATTGGCTAAAATCTATCTGCTAAGATTAACTTTTTCCACTGAATGAATCTCAAAATCAAAGTACATGTCATTTCTCCAGAATTTTTCACATATAAGTCTACTTTTATTTCAACCAGACAACTTGTAATCCTCATTTTATTTATTCCCCAACCTCTTAAAGTAACAGTTGTTTCAAGTAAAAGCCGTACTATTATTCTATTTACTAAGATCTGTTTCTCATTCTTATTATTTCAGGATACAGAATACCAGCCTTGGTATCAGAGAAAGAATATAAGTGAGCAAGTATATTTTTTGACTTGTAATTGAAGGAAATAATTCTGTTCCCAGTATCAGATCTTGTTTGCAAGCAGCAGTTACATCACAGCTGAGGTGTCATGCAAAACTGTGGCTAAACATTCAGGGTATCAGTACTGAAGCCAGATACACAAGGGAGGCAGTAACTGAAAAGGCAAAGAGGAAAATGCACGCAGAATGCTTTTCTTCAGTTCAATTATGCATGCTTTATTGAACTGACATTATGTCTGAATTAAACTTAGAGAATGGCTGCTACAGCTCAGTCTGTGATCAGCTGGTGCAAAACAAGCAGATGTTTAAAAGAAATGCTTGATCTGTCTGAAAACGAGAAGATATCTCTGGCAATTATCATGGTGATGATCTATTGCAACAAGCGTGTCTTGCTCTGAAAATGCTTCCTTTAAGAACTGAGGTGATGCAGTTCGAATTATGCACCTTCTTTGAAGATGTCTCACTGACTTCAGCTAAGGTTGATCCCAAGCAAGTGAGCATAACATGACAGTTCATCATAACATGAAACAAGTTCATCAGTTTTATGTAGTTTAAGCTTATAGTCTTATTGCTGTATTCATTACAGCAGTACCTCACTTTACAAAAGCCTTGGTTTATGTAATTTTCAGTTTACAAACCGAAATTCATAGAAAATAGTGCCCCAGTTTTAATTTTTTTTCTCCCTCTCCTCCCCCGCTCTACGAAAATGTTTCCTCAGGATGCATTGTGCCTGGAGGTTCCTAGTGCCACCCCTGTTCCTAGTGCAATCCAAGTATCGGTTTAAGAAATTTCCGCATGATGTAATGTCCTGGGGACGCATTAATTTCGTAAAGTATCGGTTTACGAAATTTCCGCATGACGTAATGTCCTGGGGACGCATTAATTTCGTAAACCGAGGTATGCCTGTATTATACTCTGAACATTTGACTTAAAAGCCAATTAGAGTTTTTACAGCTAAAGTGGGATAATAAACTGGAAATGGGTTCATTAACAATGTATTAAATAGCCCTAGAATCAAATTATTCATCGGGGTGGGGGTGGGAATGATCATAAACAACAGACATCAAATATACCCAGGAATTAACAACAGTTAACACCATATTCTCATAATCCGAATTCTACATAATTTACCTCTACCTGCACTGGCACTTCACTGAATATTCTCAGAAAACAAGAAGAAAAGGCTCTAAAAGGGAAACTACTTCTACTGTAATCACATATTTGGAGTTCTAACTTGTAACCAACAGATGCAAGGAACAATACTATGATATGATGTTTCAACAACAGGACAACTAACAGAAGTACTGCAAAAATGTTTTATTGGAGTTAAACTCTCAACCATCAACCTGCCCAGGAGACCAATCTGAGACTCTAGCTAAATATGTAGCATTCCTGCACAACAGTAACAGTGAGAAAAGTGGTGGTGGTGGTGGTGGTGGGCAGAAACAGGACCTGTTGCTGATGGATTATGTTGCCCAACCAGGATATTTTCCTTCACAGGACTCCACACTTACCAGCTTGCTTTTGACCAGTTTTTCTATTGCACTGACAAGATCCGCAGCGGTTGGGACATCAGAGGTGCTCTGTCGAGCAGCTAGCAAAGAGGAGGACTGCAAGACACCAGTTGGCAAAGGAACAGCAGGTTAGGAGGAATGAGAAGGAATTAGGGAAGCCAATAGGCTTACGCTGCTGGAGGTCACACGTTAGGATACAAAGCAGGAAAAAACATGGCAGGAGCATGGAAAGTGGAAAGGAAAGCCCATGACACACACAATGCAGCGGCACTTGGCAGACTGACAAAGCAGAGCACAAGCTCTGAAATTAGGGTTAGAACACAAGTCTGCAGCAGAGTTTTTCAAAGACAATTACAAAGCCACCAAGAAGAGCAAAAGGCGAATTAGAACTAGTGTAATTTGATGCTTCTTCATGTACCTTGAGACCTTCCTCCCCCAGACCTTTGCTCTAGTTCTGGAACAAGCATAGATGATGGCAGGGAACTACTGTTTTGTCTGGGGCTCTATTTTTACCAGCATAGTAGACAATAGAGACAGGCACACATTTCCCTTCTCTTGCCAAGCCCACACCAATAAAGACTGCAAGAAAAGTCAGGTAGGGTCAGGCTAGTGTTTTGCCAAATACATTATATTCTTGGTAAATTCTGCTAGATGTCCAAATTACTGCCAAGCATTTGACTCTTCGAATGTTACTCCTCCCTATTGCAATGTTTATGAAACATGGCTGAGGAAGACAGATAAAGTATCATTTGGAAACATCTTAGAATCCATCAAAACCAAATTAAAATCTACACAGAAAAAAAACCCCTCGACAACCCATACTTCAAGAAAAGGCTGCAATTTCTGCATGACACCAATACATCAAACATTATGAAAGCTGTTTTATTCTTCTCCTATTTATGTGAGGTATACAGTAGTTCAGTGGATTGGAGCACCAAGGGATTGAATCCCTCCTGTACCTCCCGGAAGTGGGGCCAGACAAGATCACCCTGAGTGTGTTTAGCTGCTGGGGTTATGTGACTTGACACATGCATGGCCTAGGGCAAGCTGTGCAGTCCCAGAAACACTTCTGAGTAGTTTATACCTAGAAAATCCAAGAAGGGCCGCCATAAGTCAGAGTTGACTTGACAGCATCTAATTATATTCGTAACAATTGTTAATGTACAAAATGGGGAAACATAACATTTAAAGCAGTACTAGCCTCTATCCTCCAATTCATAAATTCCTTTCATATGCCTCAAGTTTCAAGATGTAAAAGATACTTGAGAGGCTTGGAACCCCTTCTCCAATTCCTAAAGGAATGCAAATATTTTGAAGCAAATGAAAAGAACATATGGATCCCTCTTTTGTCCCCAGGATACTATACATATACATACACACACAAAACACACACAAGCCTTTTGGGGATCTCAGGCATGGGACCTTTATGGAAAGGATCCTGTGAGTTCTTCATTAGGACTTGATCTCAAGTGAAAAAAGGACAAAGTGCATTTGGAGGATGTGTTTGGCCCATTTCTGCTTGCTAGAGACTTCCAAAATTCACCAAAGGTACTCAGGAGGTAAATGCAGGTAAGACAACTAGTCCTACAACAGCAGACCCCCAATCAAAATAGTTCTGGTCCAGAATTAGCATGGACATGGATTTTTTAAAAATAGGTCTACTCTAAGTCTAAACCATAACCTGAGCCAATACTTTGCTCCCCGTGTAAATCAATTTTTACTGTTACCCCTAAACTGAAATTTTTAAGTAGATATGGAAGCATACATGAATTTAGAAACTTCACATTACTTGTATATTAGTCGCCTGAACTCTAAAAGACAGATAAAACTTTAAAAGTAATTCCTGAGGATTGACAGATAAAGAAATCACAGTAAAAGCAATCAAGCACCAGGAGTAATGTAGTGAAATTAAGAAGTGCTGCTGAACTGGACTTAAGGAGTGACAGAATAAGCCAGTAGCCATCTCAATAAAGCACACTATTGTCTGGCAGTCAGCTGGCACTGGCAGGTGAAGGCTTGTTAGGAACTGCTGTTGAGTGATGTATCAGTCTAGTTGCTTTCCCGCCAAGAATACCTATGCTAGACATTCTGTCAGTCTCCTCTAATAGCTTATCTTTCATTTAAAGAGTCACAACAGGCAAACCAAACTGAAGTCCACAAGAATAAAATTTCAAGGGATTAGGAAGGTTGCTTCAGCACTGAGCACAAAAGTATTACCTTCCAAAGACTAGAGTCGTTAACAAAACCAACAAGGTAGAATTCAGGCTGCACCGAACACCTTTCTAAGAGCAAATACACTAAACTCCTTGTATTTTTTACTTTGGAAAGGTAATATTCCCTTTTAATGCAAAATCATTCACTTCTCTCTAAACTTCTAGTCACATATATACACACTTCTGGTGTTCATATAGAAGGAACTAGACCAATATGTAAAGTTCCAGTATTCAGTCTAAGGTATTTGCATCCTATACAGATCTCACCACCAATCCTTAGAGTCAAACATGGGTATTCTCACAAGCCAATATAAAAATTGGAGGGAGCACAAATAGCGGTGAGACAGTTTACACTCTTCCGTGAATGATCTCCCCTTGGATTTGTGTATTGTAGGGGGTGCTTTGTTGTTGCGCTTACTCTTAGTTCCTATAAGAGATGCAGTGTCTCAACAGCACTGATAGGTGACCCAATGTGAACTATGCATTTTCAACAGAATACACTCCAGATGGGTCTACAATGGTCATGATAATTGCTTTGGCAGGTAACTTGAGATTAACTTTCAAGCCAAGAAACTTGAAAGCCACTTCTCAACCACAAAGGTTTAAAATGCAAAATGAATGCAGAAAAGCTACAGAAATTAAGAAACGCAGGCAAGCGGTGAATATTCCACCCACGGGGGGGCGGGGAGACTGAAATCCTTGGGCACTGAAAGAAAGACTTTGAAGGACACTGCATCGTGCCATTCCTTCTGGAAAGAAAGTGGACTTGTATAACAAAGTTCAATACAGTATAGCGTTAATAATCAGTTACAATGTCTTGCTCCTTAGATCCAACAGCATTTGGGGTTTTTTTTTAAACAGGAAAGTTATTTTGACTGAAGAAAAAAGGGGTCAGAGCCCTACCATTTCATCTTGCGTGGGATCATTATCAAAAATCTTCATGGGAGGAGGGAGCGGGGTATGAGACTCTTCATCTGGCTCATCTTCGCCCCAACCCTTCTTGCTCTTCTGAAAGCAACAGAGTTATCATTACAAGTAGGAAAATGCCCCAAAAAACCCTTTTCCCCCACAAAGCTTTCAAAATTTTGTAAACATATATTTGAATGATAATTCTGTCCCCTTTCAAGGTTCAAGTTCCATTTACTGGTTTTCAGCTTTGTTATATCTTTCTCAGGCAGCACCTGAAACAATACAATATACTACCAAACAAAGAGCAAATAAATACATACATCAACAAGAACTTGAAGAGGCCTTTTAAAAAAGAGAGAAAAAGAGGGGGGGAGCAGGGAGTGGAAACTTGTTAACAGATAGTTACAAGCAGACACAGTGTGGTGTAGTGGTTAGTGTGGTGGAATAGGATTTGGGAGATCTGGGTTCAAAATCCAAACCTACACATGAAAGGTGCTGGTTGACCTTGGACCACTCAAGATCTCTCAGCCTAATCTACCTCACAAGGCTGTTGTGAAAACAAAGTGCGGAGAAGGACAGCCATGTATATCACTTTCAGTTCACTGGGGGAAGGGCAGGATGGAAATGTAAATTACAATTAGGTGAACTCCCCACTCTTCCCAAAAGTGACGTAAGACAAAAAAATCTTGGAAAAAAGCATTTCCTCTCTTTGAAAGGTCTGGTGCTTTTTGCTGCACATTAAGAGGAGCATGCCCATTCATTTCAAGGATGTACAACAGAGCCAACCATTTGTGAGACCTATGAAGCAGAAGCAACTCGCTTAATGACTGAATGAATGTTTCCTTTGTACGATAAGGCTACAGGGGATTCCTTGTTTTTTGTATAGGCCTGTATTTTTAAATGCTACTTTAACACATACAGATTAACCATGTATGTGCATTAGACAACAATAAAATTAGGGTCAAATTAGCTTTTCTTTTTAAACAAAAAGAAGTCAAAAAGGTGTCTGTACCTCATCTGCACTGTCTCCTTGAGGTGTGGTTTCGTCTCCAGGCTTGGGAGATCCCAGATCAAAGCTCTTCCTCCCTTCCCGCACTTTCTTCTGCTTTTTGATGTTACTTTCTGCCTTCCCACTATTCAGTCGGCGTACAGGGCTTGTTAGCCATTTTTTCAACGTGTTGGTTGAGCGTTTTGGCCCTGGGGAACTCTGGATAGAATTGAGAGAGGACTGGGGCTGCAAGTTGGCCACTGATTCTGACTTCCCACCATTTTCATTCGAAGAAGCCGAGTAAGAGTCTGCCAAAACAAGAAAATACGATCAGTTAACAACTCTTTGTATTAAACTGAAGACCATTTCTTCTAGAAAGAGTGAAATTCATTGACAAAGCTTAAGGATACAGAGGGGAAGGGCTATTTTTAAATTAGAAGATAACTCCTTCTTCCATTCAGTATACTAAACTTGTTCCTCATTCTGCATCTGTCTCCCCCGTTTCTTCCCGCCCTGTACTTCGAGAGCACTCTATAAATCTTCTGTTTTATTGATGGATACCTTCGTTTGGAATGACTATGAAAAATCTTACTACAAGTTCACAGGAACACCATGCCCTTTATAAATTCACCACGGTGTTGCTACTTCTGCTAGAAAGAGAGTGAGTCCCCTTATGGCCAGGTGGGTATCTGCTTGCACGTTTGTGGAAAGAAGCTGGCAGTCCAGGTTGGTGGGTCTCAGCCTTCTGAACACTCCAGAGTTGCCTTATCTGTAAAAATAGCTGGCTCTGCCTATTCCCTGCTACTGTTATTTTCAGCCTGTTTGTGCACACTAAGCAGCACCAAGCTGGCAAGAGATAAGCTCCTACTGAAAATGGTTCCCCTCGGCTATCTTTTACATGATAAAGTTTAACTGTTTTCCATTCACAGCAGCCACATGATTCGGAGCTGAAGTTAAGTGGGGAAAGGGAGCCTAAACCATTATCAGAATGCTGTCTGTCAGCAAATTCCAAGGTCGGAGACTGGTTAATCTAACACTCTAGGAAGAAATAAAAAATACAAGTTAGTCGTCGTCTTTCTTTCTCTCCCATTTTCTCCATCACGCCAATTTCACAGAATTCTCTCCCAACTCCTGCATATGCTGACTACAAATGAATAGTTTCCCTCCCCCACACTTCAGGAAAATACATCCCACCCCCAGAATGTCTCTTCTCTTTGCAATACAAAATATCTGAGCGTGGTTCAGTCAGCTGGGCCATTGCCATTAATTTCACACACAAAAACCCTTCTTCCTCATTTGTTCATATGTTCATCTAGCTATCTGCATTTTTGGACACTCAAGGACGGGAGCAGCGATGGGGACTATGATAATGAGCACCTATATATTAAAATTTATCCCATGGCACTGTTTCCAATACTTCTTTAAAAAACCAGCATAAAAATTAACAGAATTCTATTATTTCATAATATTACACTCTGGATAAAATTCTGTATCACACCCTATTGTTCCACAGAATGGCAACAACATTACACACTGGATGGACAATGCAGACATGAAGCTAGAGACCAGAGCCGCATTACTTCCACACCTGGATAAAAGGCAAGGGGTTTTTCTGTATAAGCACTAAAAACAACTCTAGAATAGGAAGCTGCAACTATGAAGCAAAACTGTATTTCAAGAACGTAAAGCCTGAATCTAAAATTAACTTTTCATATATTATTTGATATACGGTATATGTTAACTTTTCAATGTTCTTTCGGGACTCCAAATGTTCAAGATGTGTTTCAGGCATCATTGCATTCAAGAGGATCCCTCGGCTCTCAGGTGTAATTATTACGGGAGCAAGTACAGTCACAGAAATTTGGATGCACTGACTTGTGTAAACAAAGCACTTTCTGCTAAAACAAACCTGCCACTAGATACAACTGTTTGTGAAGAAGATCATTTTGGAAAACCCAAATAGCAAAGATTAAAGGCTGTAGGCCACACAATTCCACACATTTAAGAAAGAAGTCTAGAACAGAATTCAAGGAGTAAAAACATTTTTTTTCATTTTAGGATGTCATTTTCTGTAGTGGGACTAATTTAGATGAGCCATGAATAGCTGCTTAGGCATTGTTGGAATATTCCCAGAAAGACTCTATGCAAGTGCAAAACCCCAACCGCATGATCCAGAGAGACCACACAGAAGAACTATAATTGTAGGATTTTCATACCATCACTGCCAGACCAAAAAACCATGATGACCTAGTACTGCAAATGTGACCTGAGCAACTGGATAGATTACAGGCTCCTTATTTTAAAAAGCCGCATCAGGGTCATACTTCATCTGAGTAATTGTAGAAATGCATATTCAGTGGTCATATTTGTTTTCAATCTTACTCAGTGTTATAGCACCTACTGTGCAGATTATGGAATCTATGGAGGTGACTGCCAGTGAGATGACTGCCAGTTACACATGGTTACACAAACAAACTTATTTTTAGGTATGTTTTATTCCTTGTGAGGTAATGGTTAAATTGCAGTACTTAAGATGACGCTGTTAAGATGTTACACTCAATATGCCAGCAAGTTTGGAAAACTCAGCAGTGGCCAGAGGATTGGAAAAGATCAGTCTACATCCCAATCCCAAAGAAGGACAGTGCCAAAGAATGCTAAAACTACTGCACAATTGCACTCATTTCACACACTAGCAAGGTTGCACTCAAAGTCCTACAATGTAGGCTTCTGCAGTATATGGACCGAGAACTCCCAGAAGTACAAGCTGGATTCCGAAGGGGCAGAGGAACTAGAGACCAAATTGCTAACATGCGCTGGATTATGGAGAAAGCCAGAGAGTTCCAGAAAAATATCCACTTCTGCTTCATTGACTATGCAAAAGCCTTTGACTGTGTGGACCACAGCAAACTATGGCAAGTCCTTAAAGAAATGGGAGTGCCTGACCACCTTATCTGTCTCCTTAGAAATCTATACGTGGGACAGGAAGCAACAGTTAGAACTGGATATGGAACAACTGATTGGTTCAAAAGCAGAGACATCACCTTGCCGACAAATGTCTGCATAGTCAAAGCTATGGTTTTTTCAGTAGCCATGTCTGGAAGTGAGAGCTGGGCCATAAAGAAGGCTACTGCTGAAGAATTGATGCTTTTGAATTGTGGTGCTGGAGGAGACTCTTGAGAGTCCCATACTTTGGCCATATCATGAGAAGAGAAGACTCCTTGGAAAAGACCTTGATGTTAGGAAAGTGTGATGGCAAGAGGAGAAGGGGACAACTGAGGATGAGATGGCTGGACAGTATCATCGAAGCTACCAACATGAATTTGACCATACTTCAGGAGGAAGTGGAAGATAGGAGGGCCTGGCATGCTCTGGTCCATGGGGTCACAAAGAGTCGGTCACGACTTAACGACTAAAGAACAAATGAAGTCTCTGCTCGTGGCCTGGGCTCAGGTAATTGGCTCAAGGTTGACTCAACCTTCCATCCTTCCGAGGTCAGTAAATTAAATACGCAGCTCACCGGGAGGGGGGGGGAAGATATGTAGCCTGGAAAATTAAATTGTAAACTACTCAGATATAGCTTTAAGCACTATGGGGTAGTATATAAGCAGCACACTTTGCTTTTGCTTTAAGTAAAACTACTTTCCACCTCACCCACCCAAAGTAGAGCAAGGACTCATATTTTTGCACTTCATTACCTAAATGCTCTGTAGTATTTACGGTACTGAACCAAGATGGAGAGAAATGAAACCCTGCAGAGGACGGGTTAATTTATTTGCCAACATTTTAAAGTATATCTATCATTGAGAAGCATATAGCTATGCTAGATTTCAGTGAAAATTAGAAGTTGTGCCCAAATTTAGACACCATAAACACCTGCCATGTTCACTGCCATGAATGCTCAGCAATTTAGGAGTTAGCAGGACCGGGAAAAATATAGTTCTCCTGGAAAAAGACCTATGTACAATCTGTCCTGTACATAAAATATCTATTTCTGATGTGCCTGTGTTCCTGTGAACAGTTTTCATCAAAAATAGATGGTAGAAGAACAGTAACTGGGTTAAGAAACAAGATGTAGCATTGACATAAAGTGAATGTTGCTTAGCTGTCAGTACAAAAAGTAGCAATGTAAGGGACATTTTGTTGTGCTATGTGTTGTCAAGTCAGAACTGACTTATAGGGCTTTCTAGGTACACAAGATATTTAAAGGAGTGGTTTTTACCAGTTCTACTCCCCCAGTGAGCTTCCATGGCTGAGCAGGGATCCCAAGTCATAGCCCATCACTCTGTCCACTACACTACACTAGGTTGATCTGGGAACATGCCTTTCACAAGATGTTAAGTGTGTGCACATGCAGCAGTGACTCTTCATAAACTGTAAAAGGTTCAAATTCACCCAAAGAATTGCTATAAATTCCATATGCATTTTAGGAATGCCCCCAATCATATATTTTCCCATGACCAAGGCATACAGAAATTAATACTGAAAATACCACTTTTAATTGGCTGTCAGTTGTCACTGGCATTTTCTAGTTTTGGACATTCAAGACAGTTTTCCTGTCAACATTTACACCTCAGTATTGACACCCATCACATATTCACTCAACAGAAGAGACAAATACATACGAAAAATGACTCTTATCTAACTCTTGTCAAGAAAAGTTTTGCCTCCAGGAAAAAGAATTAAAAACTCTCGATCTAGAAATGTTGCAATGATAAGAATTCAGTGTTTCTCACACATATGTGGGGAAATATATGCTATGCATGAATGCGCACACTCTGTAGAATTCATAATAAATTAGCTGCATATAGCTAACACTAATACTAAATGTATATCATGACTTGTTCCATTAATTTTAATAGTCCGTAAGTTAAACAATCTGACTCTGGTTAAATACAGTATTTGACATACCTATTAGGGTCTCTGCAAATGAAATGAGGTTTGATAGTATATAACAGCAACATACTATCTATAAAGCTCTTCTGGAACACTACATTTCAAATGAATCATTTTTCTTTCTGCCAATTCTCTCTATTATTTAGCGTTCACATCTGTATCTAATAATCAGGAAGGTGACAGTATGAATGGCTTTGGCCTTCTCTCCAGTGTATCACTGGAGTATCGGTATACTTAAAGATCTTTATTACATTCTTCATAGCTGTCCTTCCACATCTTCGTTTTCTGATTTCTCAGTTGGATTCTGATTCATGATTCAGCCAAGATAGGAATAATCTTTAAACATTTTAATTTCTTCATTGTCAACATTAAACGTTATGCAATTCTTCTGCAGTCATTATTTTTGGCTTAATGT